CAATTCTTTTAAAATTAGGTTGCTCCATAATATTCTTTCTGATTAAGTAATTTTGTGTTTTATATTTCACGCTTTTTCAACAACTCTAGTCATGGTGTTTTTTTTTAGTACTTGTATGTATAGTTAGTTAGGTAGAATTTTCCTCTTTCATGCCTTTTACTTCTCTTTCATATACAAGTATTTTTTTCTTTTACTAATCCCTTTTGTTTCTTTATCTTGTTGTTAATCACCAATAAGCAGAAAATATAATCTATAATTACTTTTTAGTTAGATGCACCGACACATGATTATTTCTCGTTCGATCAGTGTAATTAATGTACAATTAATGTACAGTTGTTTATATAATACTTCGCATAAGAGAAAAAGACAAAAAAATTGAAAGTTACAGCAAATATTCGATTATTCCCTTCATTCCATAATGTCAGCCTTCCACGTGACCACGTCTGTATATGCACGTTTAAATGATGTTAAAACTTCGTTTTTTCAAAGTTGTCACTACAAATATATTATTGACTTTTTAAAAGTAAAAACGGAGTATATATGTATATGTGTTCTTAAACATTTTAACAACATACTTGGTGTATACTTTGTATGTAATATGTACATGATGAACAAGGTAGCAACCAAAAAAAAAGTCCAAAATTAAGGTGAAAATTTTTTGGTTAACATAATATATATTTTGAAAATTGCTAATGAAAATGAAATTGTTGATGAAATAAAAAAAACAGGTAGTGTCAGATGAAGCAAGAGCAATGTATAATGGAGGAACAGCAGGATTAACATATTGGAGTCCAAATGTGAACATATTTCGTGACCCAAGATGGGGTAGAGGTCAAGAAACTCCTGGAGAAGACCCCACTTTAGCTTCTCATTATGCTTCTAGTTACGTTCGAGGTCTTCAAGGTAATTACAACAAGAATCGTTTGAAGGTTGCTGCTTGTTGCAAGCATTACACTGCTTATGATCTTGACAATTGGAATGGTGTTGATCGTTTCCATTTTAATGCTCGGGTAAGCCGCCTTTTTCTTACACTCACCTCACCTTTAGACTTCGATATGTTAGTTATAATAACCATTCTTGTTAGGATCGGAATTAATAATAAGATAATTAAAGTTGAACGATAAGATAGTTTATTATATTAAAACGTTTTGTTGTCATCTTCTTTTCGTTTTTGTGGTCCCTTTAATTAATTATATTGTCACTATACTAAAAAGAGATTGAAGTTTTCTTTAACTAAAAAGGGGTGATCGATGTAGTTTTTAGTTTGTTTTGTTGGTAAAAGTCATTGAGTGGTTATATTTCAATAATTACACTTTGGAATCTTAATTTTTTTTTATTTGACTTTGCCTTTTATCATATCATATGAAAAAGAAGTAATAACAAATAATATTAAACATGATAACATTTGATTTTTACTTTTGATATAGTGTGTCATATATGCACACATTAAAAGTGTGCAACCTATACGTATAGAGCGTGTTTATAAAACGTGTTAACAAAATGTACTTTTCTTTACCGTTTACAAATTGTGCTATTTAGAGCTACTAGACACAATCCTTCAATACATGGAGTGTAAAAAAAAAGTGCTTGACAATTGTTTTAAAAATTGGTTTCTTTAGGATTTTGGATATATATATGTACAATCACAATATCTAATGCAACAGTATTTGGATTAATAGTCAAGACACAACAATGTATAGTGAGTTCCATTCACTAATCACTATGGCACACATGTTACAAGTAGTTGAAATTTTCTAAGACTTTGCCATAATAAATTGGATAAGAATTTTCTTACGTAAGTTCAATTCGTTATTGATATTGAAGTTGACATATAAAAACTTTATAATAAAAGAAAAAAAAAAGTTGATTATAAATTGTTGTAGTGTTATAACTTATAAATCAAATGAAAACAATATAATGTATGCTTTAGATAGTTGGATGTATGATTGATTTGATATTGAGGCTAAACTAGGTACAATTTCTTGCACGCAACATTTGTTCATTAAAACTTTGACAAACTTTTTATTGATTAATGATAGAACCTAAACAACCAATTTAAGAGGAATTTATTGTAACGAAGTTTATCTAAATCCATAACTTCATTGATTGTTCTTGCCTATACTATGATATTGAAGGATTTATTTCATCCACTATTTTCCAACCTAAAAATCTAGAGTTATTATATCGTGTGCAAACAAAAAAAATTTGTTCAATGGTCCTTATTTTTCCTTTTTAATTTGATGATACTTGTTCAATGGTCACCTTAATATAATAACGTGACTAGTGATAATTATGGATGTCAAAATATTTTAAAAGAATATCCAATTAAATTTTTCAAAATATTATTATAATTAATTTTGATAAGTTAGAACTTAGTGACTATTTGGACAATTATTTAGAAGAACGTCAACCTAATCCTTAAATAAATTTAAACTTTAATTATTGAACTAATTTAATGAAAATTTAATTATCCATGCTAAATTCTATAGTTTTGTTGTAACGAAACAATTAATTGAATTGGTGCGTAGGTGAGCAAGCAAGATTTGGAAGACACATATAATGTGCCCTTCAAGGCTTGTGTACAAGAGGGAAGAGTTGCTAGTGTGATGTGCTCATACAACCAAGTTAATGGCAAGCCTACTTGTGCTGACCCTGATCTTCTTCGTAACACTATTCGTGGCCAATGGCGCCTCAATGGGTAAGCTTAATGAATTTTGTTAAAATTTTCATTTCTTTTGATCTTATTTTTCGTTTATAATCATGGCTTGAGTTCTAATTATTAATTGTGTTTTTTTGTTAGGTATATCGTATCTGATTGTGATTCTGTTGGTGTAATGTATGATGATCAACATTACACCAAGACTCCCGAGGAATCAGCAGCCGATTCTATCAAAGCAGGTTAGTAGTAATAAGACTAATAACCGTAGATAAAAAGTTGCGTACATTTGAAACACTTAATTTTTTACAAGTACTAAAAATCGATGGTGTTTATAGGTTTGGACTTGGACTGTGGGCCCTTTTTAGCAGTCCACACGGAAGCCGCTGTAGCTATGAAAATTATACCCTACATCCTAGTGTAGGATGGTCTACCTACACCCCCTGATGCTACGCCGTTTTGTAGCTTGCGGGGAGTACTCACGAGCTAATTCATGCTTCAATTCTTTCCTTTTTTTTATTTATTTTTTTTAATTCCTTGTTTCTTATTATTCAAGCTATGTATATAAATGATTTTAAACCCAATATTTTCTCTCTCCTCAATTGATCAATTTCCATTTTTCTACTTACATTCTCTCTAGTTAATTCATCTTCTTCATTTGATTTTATACTAATTTTGCCGTTTATTTTTCCTACGATTTTGATAATTGTTGTTGATCATCAATGGCTGATTCTTCCTCTGCTAATTTCGATCGTGATTACGAAAGTGTGTTTCCGTCTTCTAGAGTTCGATTGATTGATTCGTTTGTTCATCAACAATGTGAGTAATTACAATCATAATTTTGTAATTTTTATCATCAATACATTGTTGTGTTATAATGCTCTGTTTATTTCAACTTAATTTATGTATTATTATTCTTTTCGTTGCTTCAATTTTCAAAATTTGATTATGATTATGATGAACGTTTTTGGATTGTTCATACTTTGTTATGAATATTTCGCTGCTTCAATTTATTTCATTGCTCTATGTTTGAAAATTGCGTGATTTTGTTTTTATGCTTTTATTTTTTTTTTTTTGGATCATTTTTATATTTAAAATTAATCAATTATGTGTTATCATTTGTACTTCTTAATTTTTTTATGTCATATATGATTATTTGTTTTTACCATTTTTTCTTGATAATATTATGTGTCAAAATTTTCCATATTGATCATGTGCAATTTTGCTATTGAACATTGTATTTGTTAATTATTGTTCATTTTTGAAACATGTTATGTTCATTTATAATTGTACATTAAAACTTTGTGCAATGAGAAAAAAAACTGATATTTCATATCTTGCTAAGGTTTTGATCTTATCTGTTTATTTAAGTGTTTGAAATTGAACATTTATATATTTTAATATGATCATTTAACTTTTATTTGAAGGCGAAGGATTTAGTGTTTAAAGGATTTAATATGATCATTTTTTGAAACTTGTTATGTTCATTTATAATTGTATATTAAAACTTTGTGCAGTGGGAAAAAAAGCTGATATTTCATATCTTGCTAAAGTTTTGTTTTTCTTATCTGTTTATTTAAGTGTTTGTAATTGAACATTTATATATTTTAATATGATCATTTAATTTGTTTTGCAGTCGAAGGATTTAAATATTCCTATAAATAAAAGTGTTGCTGGTGTTTCTGCTGCTCAAGCTCAATGTAATGTTCCTATAAATAAAGGTGGTGCTGGTGTTAAAAATGATGCTCAAGTTAATCCAAGAGTACTAATGCGTCTACAAAATCTCAAACTAGATATTTTGTTCCACCCGTAGTTCTTGGCATTGTTCCAACTTCAACTCAGGATTGTTCAAACTTCAATCTAGAAATGTTTAAACCCCATTCCAGAAATGTTCAATCGACAAATGTTTAAGTTATTCCTCCCACGGTTCCAATAAATGATCAAGGTGCTCTTGTTCAAAGTTCTTCAAGTGTTAAAGACATAAGAATTTGTTTCTATATAGTACCTTTTTTAGTATATTGTTTTTTTAAAATTCAACATATGTAAATGATTATTTATCAATTTGAAAATGAACAAAAGTAAAGAACCAACAACCAATCCATAAAACCTAAAAATTATATATATTTTTTCATACAAATAAAGATTAAAATGAAATATCAATTACAATAATTTTTTTAACAAATAATATCTATAAGTCTATTTTCCTCCAAAAAAAAATCATCTATAAAACTATATACTTCCTCCGTTTTCTTTTACTTGCAACACACCTTTTAGGCACGCAATTTTAGGAGATGATTAGTGAGGGTAAACGAGCTATTTTATCAATATAATTTTTACACGAAGATTAGAATAGGGTTAAGTATCATTTGTAAAAATTATAATGAATAATTTATCCGTTTACATTATATAAACCCGACCTCAAAACACGTGCCACAAGGCTGTGTTGCAAGTAAAAAGAAATGGAGGAAGTTTAAGATATGATCATATACACATTCATTAATGAACATATACACTTTCATAAATGAACATATAACATGTACTATTCATTTGCAAACTTCCTTGCTTATCTTCGATTTAACCTATATTTAGTGTTTTTCTTCAAATAGCATCAGTTCCGCATCCTTGCTTCCTAATTTGGTTCACCTGTTGAACAAAATGAATTAACAAATGTTAATTATTATATACACTACTTTATAAATGAACAATATATCTTACATTATTGAACATTTATCACTTTTACACTATTTGGTTTCAAATCACAAATCTAACTCTCATTAAGTTTAGTAGTGAATGTTTCTATATGCTTCATAATTTATACTCCGCAGTTTGTATAATCAGCGTTGTTAAGCCATTTTATCTTCTCCAAAACAACTACGTATTCTTCAATTCCATGTGCAAATTTATATCAAATGTGTAACTTTGGACATCACTACAATATAGCTAGATTGGTTGTAAGATATTAGTTTTAATGCATACAAATGAACATTATCAATATTATACATGAGGATAATGTATAAAAGAAATGAACATTCGTTATTTAGGCATATAAATATATATGTAAACTGAAATGAACCAATATTAACATATATTTTAAAATGAACATTACTTTATATGTAAATGAACATTATGAATTTCATAAATGATCAAAAGATTTGATAGAATAAATAAGTCAGTTTCTCAACTCAAATGAATGATTATTTATGCATTTCATAAATGTGCATAACATATCATAAAAATGAACATTATTTATTTAGGCATATAAAGTCAAATATAAACTCAAATAAATTCAAATATACAAATGAACATTTATAATTCTATATATGTTCATATATTAACTCGGAATCGTAGAAATGTTAACATCTATACCATAAGACTTTTTAATATCTTTTAAAAGTTCTAGATCTACAACTTGAGACTTTTGTTCGTTGTTTTTTTTTACTCTTGTTTAAATAGGTTTTTGAAATAATACTTACGTTTCTTCAGACTATGCCTTGTTATGTTCAACGAACATGATTCTTCTCTGAATCATCATTCTCTTTATCTCTCTAATTCGAAATATATTTTTCGGTTCTGTAAAAAATAAAAAAACACAAAACATAGTAGATTTTAATGATTTTTGCATAAAATAGTTCTAATCAAGTTAGATTATGTTTCTGAACATGTAATTTCAAAATGAAATACGTAGTAGAAAAAATAGGTTCATACAAAAAAATTTAGTAAAATTACTTACTCTTTCTGTGAATGTTGTTGCGATTGTTGAATTTTCTTCGCAAATGTAGACATTTGAAGGAATTTAGCAATATTTTGAAGCAATTTCGTAGTATTTTGAAGCAATTTTGTAGTATTTTGAAGCAATTTTGGTTCATATTTTCTAGTTTTGATGAGAGAGAAAGTCTAGAGAAATGAAGAAGAAGGTTTTAGAGAGAATGGTGGGTAGTTACAGTAGGTTAGTGGGTTATGGGATGTGGGTAACATGATAAACGCATCGTTTAGAGGGGGGTGTAGGTATCCCTACCTACACTAGGGTCTAGTGTATACCAATTATTGTAGCTAGAGGATTATTGACCGAGGCTGATGTGAACAATGCCTTAACCAACACCTTAACAGTCCAAATGAGACTAGGCATGTTTGATGGTGAACCATCAGCCCAACCTTTTGCACACTTGGGCCCAAGAGATGTCTGCAGTCCAGCCCATCAAGATCTAGCCCTCCAGGCAGCCCGTCAAGGGATTGTCCTTCTCCAAAACCGGGCCCGATCACTACCCTTGTCCACTGCTCGCCACCGTACTATTGCCGTTATTGGGCCTAATGCCGATGCCACAGTTACCATGATTGGTAACTACGCCGGTAAGTTTTTTTACTACTCAGTATATTTTTTACCCCCCCAAAAAAAAAAAATACTCCATACTTTGTAATAAAAAAAGTTTGTTACTAATGTTTATGATGTTACCCTAGGTGTGGCATGTGGATACACATCACCTGTACAAGGCATAGCAAGGTATGCTAAAACAATCCACCAAGCAGGATGCATTGGTGTTGCTTGTACTAGCAACCAACAATTTGGGGCAGCAATAGGAGCAGCAGCTCATGCTGATGCAACAGTGCTAGTAATGGGCCTGGACCAATCTATTGAGGCCGAAGCGCGTGATCGAACATCGGTCCTTTTACCGGGCCACCAACAAGAATTAATTTCAAAGGTGGCCTTGGCCTCAAGAGGCCCAACTATTTTGGTCTTGATGTGTGGTGGGCCTGTTGATGTCACATTTGCTAAAAATGACCCAAAGATTAGTGCCATTATATGGGTTGGTTATCCGGGTCAAGCTGGTGGGACCGCTATTGCTGATGTCATCTTTGGTACAACTAATCCAGGTAAAAAAAAAAAAGTAAAATTAGTAGTACTAATTCTTTGTTTACTATGTTGAATATATTATTGTGTCTAATTTTTATGTTCCAAATTTTTTTATAGGAGGAAAGTTACCAAATACATGGTACCCCCAAAGCTATGTGTCAAAGATTGCAATGACTGACCTAGCAATGAGGGCTAGCCCATCAAATGGATACCCGGGCCGGACCTACCGTTTCTATAGGGGTCCGGTTGTGTTCCCGTTCGGATTTGGGCTAAGTTACACCCGGTTCACCCAATCATTGGCCCAAGCACCTACCAAGGTCATGGTACCCCTAGGCAACCAATACATCAACTCAAATATGACCTCATTAACAAAAATGCTATAAAAGTGTTACATGCACAATGTGACAATGCACCCTCTCTAGGCCTCCACATTGATGTGATGAACAAGGGCAAGGTTGACGGATCACACACGGTCCTCGTGTTCTCTACCCCACCCGAAGGGACCAAGTCACCCGAGAAGCAACTTATCGGGTTTAAGAGGATCCATGTGTTGGCGGGTTCCAAGCAACGCGTAAAAATGAACATACATGTTTGCAAGCATCTTAGTAGAGCTGATGAGTTTGGGGTAAGAATGATTCCAGTGGGTGAACATACTCTACATATTGGTGATGACCTCAAACATAAGCTTTCTCTTCACATTGACTTAGGAAAATAAATTTTAGTATAAGGTATGGAGTATTATTTAAGGAAATTTAGGTATTACACAAATTCAGTTGCAAGTGTTGATTAAAGGTGATTGATTGTTGATATGATGCAATACATAGAATCATAGGTTCATTAAGAAAAAGAAGTGTACATGAAGTGTGGTTTTACATTAGTTTGCTTCATATTTGAAAAAAATATCGGCAAATGTAATGCTCATACTAGATATATACTGTTTAATTACAGTATTTTCGATTTTCAATATAATAATACTTTATTTTGAAGTTTGAAATGTCGAATCAAATGAGGTATTGAAATCCTTAATGTACACAATATCTCCAATAATTCAAATATTGTAAATATTATAGTTAGTCTTTTGTACTCCCGAGAACTTAGATTATTTACCATAGACGAGTACAAGAAATTCGAATAATGTGACAATCAATTTTGGAAAAGGGACAACACTCGTACAACTATAAAAGTAAAATTGTATGAAACAATAGGAGTTAGTCGAGTAGTAAAGACATGACACTCGAGACAGTAAAGATATGCTTGGACATAAACAGCAAACAAATAATTTTGTTCCCAACCATGTCCCTTAATTATTTCAATGTCAGTCCAACACTTTGTAGAATTGTAGGTACGTGATAAATATGAAAAGCCCATTATGCTAAGCCCAATCCAGTAACAAATATTTGTGGGACCTAAATTTGTTTAATTTATTATTAATCTCTAAACAACTACTCACTCCATAGTTGAAGACTTGAAGTGCTTCACTACTTTGGTTAAAACTTGGAAGTGCCTGTACTTAACTTATCAACGATTAAAACACGCAGAGTTACTTGAGCCAATAAGGCAATAATGGACATTATGCCTCGGCCCCACGGCACATGTCCACAATATTTTGAATTTGACTCATAACGAAATAACTCAACTTGAATTGACCTTACTGGATAAACAAGGATCGAAATAAAATTTATATTTACGTTGAAAACTTGATAAATTACTTATTACTTCCAATAATAGATAGATCAAAAAGAAATGACCTAATCCAAACCCGAATTGAAAACGAGTTTTTTGTCGATAAAAAATGACCATAGCCATTAGCCAAGGGTATTTACTAAATGTGGTGTTGTTCATTGGCTCATTGGTAATAAGTATGTGGTGATGGTCCACAATAACCGTCCAAGTTAGTAAAACGGTAACAAAAAGAATTAGACAAGCCAAGTTCTTTATGGGTCCAATAATTCGGCTGTCTTGGATGTATTTGTAATCCACTTGCCCAACACACATGTATGAGGAGAGTATATGAATGTTATGTCCCTATTTAAGTGAATAACATAAAATTCTATGATGTTGATTTTAAATGAAACTATGAATTATTTGAGTTTGATTTAGACATTTTGGGACAAGGTATATTATTAGAAGATATTTTCTTTGTTCTTTTTAAGTTCAATCTTAATGATTGTTTAGGACAAGACATTGAGATTATTGATCATTAATTATAAATAGCTAATTTAAATTTCGATTAGAATATGCACTGAGACAAAATCAATAGTATAATTATGTAAATGAAAATAAAATTAAAAGAATAATATTCATTTACAAAGCAGGGCATAAAGATCAATAAAGTAAACAAGATTTAATCTCTAATCTTGTGTAGTAGTAGTATACCACGCTAAATATATACTTTAAATTTTAATCAAACCGACGACCACAAAATGGAAAAAGTATATCTTATAACATATATTTAGACAATAGAGTAACATATATATATGATTGCAATTTGTCAATTTAAAATATAAGTACGATATAGCTAGTGTCTGCTTTTGAATAATAGTGCTTTCATCATTCATAAATATCATAATGAAGAAGCCAAATTTGAAATTAGAAGGTGCGCACAAAAATAATTAAGGTGCGCCTATGGCGGATATTATATCTTGTACTACGTATTAGAGAGAGCTTTTGAAAATTAAATTTAGAATATATGTTGTTTTTAGATTAAAGTGGATGTCATCTATTGATTGAGAAATTTTTAACTTATACTTAAAATGAATTTCATGTCGTCGGTATTGTTATTGTAAATTTCCTAATATTAACAAATAAATGTGAATATATTTGATTTGATAATCTGTATCCTTTTAATGAAAGGAAAACATATTTGATACAATTTTTTATGTTTAATTTTGTTCTATTAAGCTTTATTAAATGCTTAATGAATAACACAAAGTACACCCTTATCTCAATTTACCGTGCTCTATAATTTTTAATTTAATTATTTTTTTTTTTAAAAAAAAAACTAGTATGATGAAATATATAGATGCGTATTTAAAAAAAATAAAAATTAAATGAGCGGGTGTGTTATTAGGCCCTAGTAATGGAAAGAATTAATTGTTTAAATAATAGTGTGAGCTCTTACTAAAATTAGGAAAGACAAATTAAATTGGGTCAACAAAGAAAAAAAAAAGGGACAAACTATATTGGAATAAAGTAGATGAGAATGATTTTGTCACATATGATATTTTCTTAGCATTTTATTTTATAAGTCGGAATTTAGCTAATTAAATTATAATATTCTATACTATATTCTTCTTTTTTTTCTTTTTTTTTTTTTTTTTTGGAGAAATATTCTATACTATATTCTAACATCATGATATCTAGATTTGAATAGGCCTTAATCCCACATTTTCAAACCAACCTCCCTCACTCTTCTAGTCTTCTATATATAAAAATAATAAATAAATAAATGTATAGAAAAAAAAAGTAAAAATAATTGTTGTTGCAAGATAAAGCCACAACATAAGGACATCTAAGACTACAATCTACAAGTTGAATAAATCAAAATCTAAGAGAATTAATCAAACCCTACCGTTAAGGAGTTAGTGTCCACTTTCAACCACTTAAAGTTGACAACTTGACATTACTATCTTCCAACCGAGATTAATATAAATAAAAAAAATTAAAATACGTAGTACAAAAATACAAGTGTATTATTAGGCTTGATTATAATTAGATTATGAATTTGTCCTAAATATCTTTCCACCCAAAAAATGGAACGTGTTTAATTTTAATTGCTAAGGCTTAGCCGCCTAGAGAAGAGTGTCGGTGTATTTAGCTTATAAGAATGTTAAAGTTGATGGTGTAATGGTGTCCATTAAAATAGGTAAGTAATCTTAGTTTTAATTAAGGGTTTTGTTATATGTTACGCTAATGAAGCAATTATACACTCCCCATTTTTTTTTAGTTGACACGTTTTAATTGATATAAGATTTAAAGAGGTTCGGTAGATTTCGATCTTATTTTATTATGTGACAGTTGGTAGTAAATTTTTTTGCTATACGAAGTAATAACTAAAAATTGGTGTGGGTATAAAATATACTGAGAGAAGTACTATAATTAAATAAATTACTCCGTAATAGATCTAAGTTATTTATAGAGAGAAAGACAAGTATGTCAAGTAAACAAGGGCTGAATTAGTAACATCATAGAACATAAGCTCTGCACTTAACCAGATGCTACGAGTATTACTTATTAGCTACCATATATTTATTTCTACCCTTTGATTACGTTGACATGAAAAATTAATCAGTCTTAACCACAATTATATATCTTGAAAAAAAAAACAAATTCAAACCAAACACCCTAAAAATAAACCTTCCTAAATATAGAACATGCATATCTTATAGAAAAATTGTTGCTTAGCTTGTTGACGTATATTATTATCTAACTATCTTACTCCATCTTTTCCTTCATTCTCTCCCTAAAACATCTCTTTTATTATCTCTTCTACTAGTCTTTTTTCCTTTACCTTTGCATCTTTTCTCCTCCTTTTTTTTACTCTTTATACCAAACCCCAAACAAAACCCTCCACAATATTCCTCTACCCCTTTTTTTTTTTTTAATAAAAATTAATTTTATTAAAAAAATTAAAATTTCTTTATAAAAATGTTATTTTGTTGGATTGGGTTGTGCTATTAAATACCACAAGTCAGAAGTGCCTGCGTGCCACTTATAATCACATCTCTTTGTGCTGTTAATCTACTCGTTGTCTTTCCAGCTTTCACAGACTTTTTCCAGGTCTTTTTTTCTTAATTCTATTTTAATTAATTACTTTTTTAAAATTTTAATCATCCAAAATATACATACTTATAAAATATTGTATATTACCATATTATTGTTTTTTCTATCCTACCATTCTTGTTATATTTTTCTAATGGGAATGAGATATGGAGCAGGGGAAGCTGTAAAAATGGCGGATTATGATGGAAGAGAAGATTATTTGGCCTCGCAAAACATGGATGAGGTATGTAATTACATCTCTAATTATTCGTAAACCGGTTTATATTAGTACTAAACTTGTTAATTATGCTTGGTATTGTAAAGTACAACCACGGTTATAACATCTTTTCCAAACGACCTGATTATAACCTAGTATATGTATCTATGATTGTTCTTTTACTCATGAAAAGTTGAACCTCTAAACTATAAATATGGATGCATTACATTTGTAAAGATTGTTTAATTAATTACGGAGTATAAATTTAGCATGATTGTATTTTGATTGTAACGAAATTATTTGAGAAACAGGGCAATGCTAATATGCATTGTCCTATAATTTTGCTATTAGGTGGTACCAAATACCTACATTTTTGTAGGTAATCTTTGGTAGAATTGTACATTTTTAATTTTTTTTTTTTTACTTTGTCATGAAAATTCTGCCTTAATTATTTGATTAAATATTTAATGTGTCAACTATATATTTGGAACGTTCGTCAGCAAGCAAGATGTACAAGGCATGTAAATGCACCAAGTAAACATAATTTACAATAATCAACTAATCAAGTATTTAGTTGACTGAATGATTAATCAAGGTTTTAATAGTTCTTTAGACATCATAATTATGTCATTTGAGTTTATAAAATTTAGAAATTAGAAGGTTTTTATTCCATGTTAATTATAAAAAGAAAAAGACAAGTGAAAGTGATTGCTTAACAAATTTCAATTAACATGATAAGTTGGATTGATACCATAAATGTATGTAACTAGCTAGTGCCTAGTATGGAGTATATTTTTACACTTGCTAAATTTAGGGTTTTGTCAAACAGAAGCCTTTGTAAGTTACAATATTGTATTGTATATATCAAGGAATTGTACGTATCAAATTCACAAATCATGCTCATAATTAACCATATATATTACGAGTAGTTCTTTTACATTGTTTATGCCTCAAATTTAAAAAGTCATATTCAACGTTTTATAGTAGAATATTATTCGTATTAATTTTTATAAATTTAGGTATTGATTACAATATAAATAAAGTGTACTGTTATGTATAAAATGAGTACATGTAAATTACTCCGTAACTTACAGAATTTATTGTAATATACAAGTATAAAATTATAAACCAAATATTGAGCATATAACATGTATAATTATACAAGTAATTTATAAATATAACACGCGATGTGAAATTTTTTAACCCCTATTAATTTACGATAATAAATGGAGGTAATAATAATCTATTTCAGTTCATCTTTCTAAATGTTTTAATTTTATTAAAATGTGCATGAATGGAATATATTCAATTATTAAAAAAACAAAAAATGATGTTGATTGAAAATGCTACTCTACTAAAAGCAATCATGTTTTTAAAGGTAAAATTGGTAAAATTAACACAAAAAGATATATAATTAGTACGTATATTCGTATTAATAGGACCGGTAAGTGGACCAATTGTTATAGAGTGGAGAAATGGATCACGTGTGGCCGGGTCCAACTATTATTGTAGTCATTCTCCTTGTAAACCAATCTGATTGTGACACGACATATCCTTGTTTAACAACTTAAGTCTTATTCTGGGATCTCTTTCCAACTGTCGGCAGTTGCCTGCTACATTTTCATCTAATTATACAATACAACGTATGAACCAACATTTGAGCTGCATTGTGACCGAGGGGCATACACGGATAAGACTAGGAGTGCCACTTAAACATGGCATTGGGTTAGGCTGGCCTGAGGCATGGCGCACAACCTAGAACGAAAAAACATAGCATAACATCTATGTATGTTAGGCTGTCTGTCTTTATTTGGCACAGTAGAACACGACACACCTGCTTGATAGTATGTATTAGTGCATGCTAAAAAAAAAGTAATATTTGACTTAAACATGCAAGTACGACCCAGATTGACATGGGGCAAACCAAATACCATAACCAAAAATGAATTAATTAAATTCGTATACAGTGGGATCGATTAAGTAACGGAAGTACAATGCTTTTCAATGTGAAAGCAATCATATTTGATCTACTACCTCCGTTAAATGTTATGTGCAACTTTAGGGTATTATTTGTGAAATATAATATATTCCAAAGTTGCACATAGCATTTAACGGAGGTAGTATATACTCCATAATTCCATAGGAATTTGATTTAATGTTACGTTTTTTTAGTATTTGTTGGTTTTATATATTGAAAGGTTTGATAATTGCATTGCAGCCTTCATCTACTAGTAAGAAATACGGAGGACTTGTGCCTAAGAAGAAGCCTCTCATCTCAAAGGTAAAAAATAAATAGCAATAAGATGATTAGCTAAACTGTCATAAATCTTGAACATTTTAGAAAAAACTCCAAAAATTTCTAAAATAAAAAACTCAAAAATTGTAGTTTTTTTTTTTCTTTTCAAAATTTATTTTTTTTGGGAAAATTGTTGTGCTTAAGTAGCAATAAACTTGATATTTTAAATTGAATTATGTATTTGGAACAGGATCATGAGCGTGCTTTCTTTGATTCAGCAGATTGGGCTCTTTGTAAGGTATGATCCAAGCTATTTGCATGTTTTTTCACACTAATTACGAGTTTTCGTGCATAATATTTTGAAATACATAAAATTGTTTTGCATGTTTATTTCAGCAAGGAGCAACAACCCAAAAATCAACAACCGCCGTGGAGTCCTTACGCCCAAAATTACAGGTATTCAATGGTTTCCTATCCATAAGAATGCTAAATTGCTAAATGATGTGCGAGTTTATAATTAAGTACTACGATAATAGTCTAATACTAGTATACTACCTCCGTTTCATATTATTTGCAACGATTTGACATAAAATAGAAAGAACAAATGTCTAATCGTTGCACATAATATGAAACGGATGTAGTATATTAAGTAAACAAAGTATATATATGTTCAATGCTAAGAGTCGACAATTCTCAAAAGTCATAAGGGTAGCGAGATATAGAGAGAATCATTGGTGAAATTATTAATGGTCATAGTAGGCCACAGGATCTACTATTAATTAAAAAAAAAGTTATTATTTGTAATTTTTTACCCTTGTTTTATAATTGGGCCGCTTGGTCATGGACTAATAACTGCTCCAATTTTTATAGTACTACAAATCTACGATAGTTTTGTAAGAACTGTGTCATACATAAACTTGTTGTGTTTATATGAGAATTTTCTAGCTTTATACAGTACTTGTCTAATTGTCTTACGTCTCTAATGAGTATTTTGTCAAGCCTAATTGTCATACAAGCTCCTTAATTATAATACTTTGAAAATTAAACAATGTTTACGTTGTAATAAACTAATAATATCAATATCTGTGACAGAGAACACCTCATCAACAACTACCTCCTCGAAGACCAGCATGTACCTCTGGTTGAGAGATTATCAAATATTATGTGAGTCTATTTCCATCATTTTTTTTTTGTATTTAAAAAAATATTTTTGTTTAGATAACGATTTTTATTTTTTCAATTCAAACTATGTGCATACTTAAATTATAATGTGAAAAATTCTTACTATTTATCCAAGCATTTATCTACAACTATATTTACTTAATTAAGAGTCTGTTCTGATTTACTAAATGAGGTGAACTGAAATGAAATGAATTGTTTATAAGAAAAGGAAATTAGAAAATGAACTGAACTAAACTGAAATTAAGCTGAAGAGAACATGTCCTAAGTTGCTCTTTTTAAATGATACAGACATTCATATACAGGTTTAGAAAAGTCAAACGAGATCTAACATTATAAATAATACTCCGTATTTATTTTTTTTTTTTTTTTAAAAATAACACTTAACTTGAATTTGTTGTTTGAATGAAATGCAGGTACGTAGATTAGTCTTCTATGAACTCAGCCCACTTGGATGGACATTATGAATAGAAGCGTCAAAAATAATCAATAAGACTACTCTTTTATTTTTGAGGGTATTGATGGTGTAAATATTTTATCAAGGATTAGGGGAGAATTTATATTGTGATGTTTCATTGCACTTATTTTACATGCCATAAACGATTAATAGCTCCACTTGTGACAGTTGTGAGTGTGAAAGTTGTATATGGCTTCCATTGTTCAAACTTCAAAAATGTGCATTATTGAAAAAAAAAAATAGTCCTTCAAAAACAATTTCGAGTTTTGAACACATTGTCCATATGTTGAAATGAATGGAAAAACGAACACTTTATAGTAAACATGGGAAATTTCTGTTAGTTGTTTAATCTCCTTGATAGAAAATTGACTGTAGATGAATAGATTGAGAAACAAAAACATCTCAAATACAAAACTAAATGTACTTCATATTACAAATTAGCACCAAAAACCTTAGAGATTATATAGTAAAAGGGTAAATGTCGTTTAGTGAACGACGTTGTTCCCTTTTTAATTTATAGATAATGACTTTGAGACTTACATTAGAAAAAGCATAGATATTACTCAAATCATAAAACCAAGACTAGCAATTATTTTTATCATACCTATTACTACAAACCACTTGAAAATTAAAATTCTTGATACTTAGCTTGATTGATCAAGGAATAATATTCATCTCCCTAAGTTTCCCAATCCAAAATCGAACACTTTTGATGCTATCTGCGTACCCAAAGAACCCAAACTCCTTACTCTTATTCATACTACTCACTAGTTGAAAATCAGACCTCATTAAATATTGAAACCCGATAAAACAAGCTATCTCCTCCAACTTCATCTTAACCAATCCTTTCTCTTCTACAATTTGGTTCCACACTTTTCCTTTATCTTTCATCTCATCCACAAGGTCAAATAACCCATCTTTATCATCCAACGGCACAAATTCAACCCCAAACTCCTCACACAAAACTCCCCTCATTTTCTTCCAAGTAAAAACGTCACCGTTTGTACAATTAAACGCTTGATTATTTGCTTTCTTATTTACAGCCCCCCACACGTGCTGCTCCGCTAACACACGTGTGTCAGTCATGTCACTAAAATGCTCCCACGTGTACCGATTTCCAAAGAATCGAAACGGTGCGTTTTGGTACTTACAAATCTCAGCGTAAGCCGCTAACATCACCAGCGCGTTGTATACACTTCTACTTGACGCGCCTACAATAATCGACGGGCGATGAATCGTGTACCTAATATCTGACGCGTACGATTTTACCACGTCCTCAAGCGCGTGGTAAAAGTTTGGGTGAGGTAACCGGGCCATATCCTCATGAAATGGAGGTTCATGTTGGGCCGCACCAGGTTGGCCTAAAAAATTAAATGGGCCAATATATTGCGCAGTACCCGTTTGTAACGAAATATGACGTAACTTAATGGGCCGATAATGGGCATGAGAGCTTTAATTACATTGGTTAACATTGTGGAGTTGGTGATGATATTATCTTCTTGGTCACGGCCCACGTTGATGGCGGCCCAAAAGACGTGAGTGATGTGGTTGGAAAGAGGCGCAAGAGTGGCATTTGTGTCGTTAAAGTCAACGGCGTCAAATGTAATGAAGTGATCAACGGCTGAGGAAGGGAACCAAGTGGGCATGGCCCGACGGGCTGCACCGTAGACGGTCCATGGGCCTCCTTGGGCTGTTGGGCTTTTAAGAGCTTGGGCTATGTTTATACCCGCCATGCCAGTAACTCCTACTACTAATGCGACTGATGCATTAGCCATGAAAGAATTTGTGTGTGTGTTTTTTTTTTATTTTTTTGGGTGGTTGGGTGTAAAGAATTGAAGTTTAGCACTAAAATTATTGGTTTATATAGGCAGCTGAATATATCAGGAAAAAGAGGACTTTATTATTCAACTACTCAATCCTTGATGAGTCATACTACTAGACATACTAGTTCCCCACATTGTAATTAGTTAATTACTGATGATGTCCTCATGGACTTATCAAGGATTAAGGATAAGTAGTGAGTTGATGATGGAGAACAAATTGACATATTGGAAATTGCATGTCAGGTAGAACCATCAACGATATTATCATGCAGTGGCGGACCCAGGAATTTCCGACTGGTGAGTCACAATCGGTAACCAAATATGTAAAAAAATTTTTTTACCAAAATTCCTAAGAAAAATTATTTACAAAGATCATCCAAATAGAAAATTGACAAGATTACAATACTAACTTATAATTAACAAGCTTAAAATTGACCTAAAATAATAATCACAATAATTAACAAACTAATTTATTTATTTAAATTTTTTTTTTTAAGAAACTTAATAATTTTTTTGGGCCCTGGTGAGTCATTTGACCCACCAGGCACAAAGGCAGGCCCGCCGCTGTTATCATGTCAACAAGAGGGAAAATTGCTAAATTGTCGAATGTAGCTATTTAAATTTTAAAGTGCTTAATTTGTCGGTTGTAGCCTTTTACTCGTAAATAAAAAATAGTGTGTGACACCTCAAAAGCTAGTGCGTGACACGCTAGTCTGAATATTAAGATTCCGTTAAGTATAAGTAGTTGATTAAAGTACGGGAGGTAATAAAAGTACAGAGTTGTAGTCCACTAGTCCGTATACTTCTTCTATTCCAGTTTAAAATAGAAAACGAAGATTGTTACAGAGTAAAATATGAAATTGATTTTTCATCTATTCATACAAATGAATCATTTATAGTTCGAACTAGTTGAAGAGATTAGAGAATGAGGTGCCAAATTCCGACCTGACCCAAAAGAAACCAAATCTAAATTTCAACTTTTTTTTTTGACACAAACCACAGCTTAGCATTTATTAAATCATCAAAAGTGCAACATCATTACAAATAGCCTCATGAAGCTCTGGAGGGTATTCCTCTAGCCACACTCGGTCCTCATTAAAACTATTACTCAACAAAGCTAAGCTATGAGTAGCGTCGTTCCCTAATCTCTTGACAAAAGAGAAAAAGCAAGAAAGACACTCTCTAGACATACATAAGATATCCTTCACGACATTCCCAAAGGCATTAGGAGGCGCATTAAACTATTCCATCACATGAAGAAAGGAAATTTCAACTTGCTACTCGTAGAACTCAATATTTTAAAATTACTTAACCTTACCCGATTTCAGCAAACCCGACCTGAGTATGCAAATTGTGACCTCTATGGGCACTACGGAATACCCCGTAACAATTACGAATAACAAACCAACTGTGGTTGCTTCATCTACATTCTCTCCTGCAAAGGGGACATGAAGAAATGAGAGCCTTCTCAAATTTAGCTTCTAGGGCTTCTCCTGCGCTTAGAAACCTTACTCAAAATCCCCCAAATCAATTGAAAACCTTCCAAAAACAAAACCCTTCAACTGTTACTTCAAAATCCCAGCAATTTGAAGCTCAAAATTTGGGAGGTAAGTCTTCGCTCAATCCTCGTTTTAACAATTCTAGCTTTAGGTATACTTCTGAACACAAATTTCCCCCAAATTCAATTGATCATAAAACCCTAACTCAGATTTTATTGAGAAAAGATTGGCATTTGTTGCTAAACCATGAATTAAAGGCTGGGAGGGTGGTTTTAATTCCACAATCTGTGGTTAGTATTTTGCACAATCATGAAAACCCATTAATTTCAATTAGGTTTTATATATGGGTTTTGAATATTAATCCATTATTCCAAAAGAATCAGCGAATTCGCGGTGTTTTGGCTAATAATCTATATAGAAAAGGTCCGGTTTTGTTGAATGCTGAGTTAGTTGAGGATATTAGGAGTTCTGGGTATCAGATTACTGAGGATTTTGTGTGTATTTTGATTGGAAGTTGGGGTAGATTAGGTTTAGCTAAGTATTGTGTTGAGATTTTTGGACAAATTTCATTTTTGGGTCTTAGTCCTACTACTAGGTTATATAATGCTGTGCTTGATGCTTTGATAAAGTCGAATTCGCTTGACTTGGCGTACTTTAAGTTTCAGCAGATGACTGCTGATTATTGTAAACCGGATAGGTTCACCTATAATATCCTTATTCATGGGGTTTGCAAGGCCGGAGTTGTCGATGAAGCTCTTCGGTTGGTTAAGCAGATGACGAATTTGGGTTATGCACCTAATGTGTTTACATATACCATATTAATTGATGGATACTGTAATGCTAATAGGGTAAGTGATGCCTTAAGGGTTCTGGAGACAATGAGGGTTAGGAAAGTGCCTCCAAGTGATGCTACATATAGGTCATTGGTGCATGGAGTGTTCTGTTGTCTTGGAAAAAACGAGGCATTTAATCTGTTATCTGGATTTGTTGAGCGAGAACCAATTTTGCCTAAAGTACTTTGTGATACTATATTGCACTGCCTCTCGAATGACTCTATGGCCAGAGAGGCAGCTTCATTTTTGAGAAAATGCAGGGAAAGAGGCTATCTGCCTGATACCTCTGTTTTTAACATCACAATGACTTGTTTGATAAAGAAACTGAATGTTGAGGAGACTTGTGAAATAGTGGATAGTTATATGGAATTAGGTTTAAATCTATCTTTTCAAACTTATCTTATCCTAATTGAAACTTTGTTCAAAGGGGGAAAAGAGAGAGAAGGAAGTCAGTATTTGATGCAGATGTTTCAAGCTGGATTACTATCCAATGTGAACTCGTACAATATGGTAATTGATTGCTTGCTGAAAGCTAGGATGGCTGAAGAGGCACTAAATATGTTCTTAGGGATGCAACAAGGAGGCATTATACCAAACCTTACTACTTTCAATACATTAATTGATGGGTGTTTTAAAACTGGAAAAACAGACAGGGCTTGTGAACTCTTGTTGACCCTCTTACAGCATGGATTTAAACCAGATATTTTCACTTTTAGTACAGTAATTGATGGTCTCTGTCGGGTGAACAAGATTAAAGATGCATTTGATTGTTTTGCGGAAATGAAGGAGTGGGGGGTTAATCCTAATTCCGTGACATACAACATATTGATTCGCTCTTTATGCATTGTTGGGGATATTTCTCGTTCCATTGCATTGTTTAAAAAGATGCAAGCTGATGGAATAAGCCCAGATGCTTACTCATTCAATGCTTTGATTCAAAGCTTTTGCAAAATGAATAAGATTGAAAAGGCAAAAAATTTGTTTGTTTCCATGCTTGCTTTAGGGCTGGCTCCAGACAATGTCACTTATAGTGCGCTAACTAAATCTATGTGTGATACTGGTAAATCTCATGAGGTGTTGGACATTTTAATGTCAATGGAAGCTAATGGATGTGTTCTAGATTCTTGTACCTGTAATTTACTTGTTGATACCCTTGTAAAATTGGGTCAGTTCAAAGAAGCCCAGGAAGTTGTCAGTAAATGCAACCAGTGGGGTGTATCAATGAAGTCTGTCTCAATTTTGTGAACCTTGAGCTGAAGTTCTGTTCTGGGCCTTCTAGCATTTGAGCTGCCTCAAAGGAGGTTTATTCCCAAAGCATATGCTGTGTGTTCCCCATTTACTGCTTACTTGGCTGCATCAGAGGTAATTAGCAGAACACCTTCTTTTTTTTTTTTTTAATGTATTGATTAAGCTTAATATTGTTGCTGACACGATTATCACTTCATCAAAGTCATTGAATTTTCTCGTAAGTACATAATAATAGCATGATTCTCTGTTGGTAACAAGATCCCCCATAAAACTTGCAAATAAAGAAAAGAACAAGAGACTATAAATTTCTTAATGTGTAATTGTTAGTTACATTATAAAGCTTTTGCATGTTTATATTTATTATCCGTGTATAGACATAATTTCATGGACAGTTAATAGTTGCTGTATGTTTGTTATATTATATTTATGTCAAATGCTACCGGATTTGCATATTTTCTTTGGCCATTTCTTGTGGTTCCTGGTGACCTAGGCTCTCTTCTTCTTTTATGAGTCTTAAATCTTTGTTGGGGACTTTTGAAGGCCAAGTGTGTTGCACCTAAAAAAAAGGATAAAATATTATTCCTTGTCTTAATGTATTTCAGTATTTGCTCCATGAGTAGATGGCACAATAATTTAAGGCAGAAAAAGTAGAAAGTTCAAAGTGAATGAGTCTATTTGGGAGTAATGGGACCGAGATTAAGAAAAAAAACGCTAGAGAAGATTAGCTTTCCATTAGAGGAATGGATCAACTGATTTGAGTCATCCAAATAGGAATATAGGGCAAGTACTTTGAGATGGTGGGAATACGATGTGTTGATAAAAAGTGATTGAACTTATAGTTACAATATGTGGAAGTTTTTGCTGAAACTTGTATAAATAAGCTGAGGAAAAGAGAGCCTATATTAATATGGTTCTTTAAACTATTTGTGGCTCTTATTTATTATGAAGTAGCCTTTTTAAGTGCATTAGAATTGGCTATCAAAGGGAGTAAGAATTCGGAAATATAATTTTCCGTATCCTGCCTCAAATAGAGACTTTGCATTGAATTTGTTATCTTTAATATACTAGATTAGCCCTGATTGTTGCAACTGAGGAAAGTGGAATCATCTATTCAATTTTAGCATATCCCAGATTAGTATATCTGATCTTATACATTAACTTATCAAACCATAGTTAATTTTTGGGAAGGATTAGATGTTAAAAGTCTTTACACTTTATTTGCTGTGAACTTATAAGTGGTAATTATTTTTACATATTGTGCGCTGCACAGATGGCTATTATGCAACAATAAAGACTGCTTGGTCTAGGAGCTATACACTGTGGAGCACCTATGGCTTCAGAGATTGAGAGGTGTGGCCGTGTGAGAAGGACTATTGTCCCCCTCGGAGGAAGTGACAGTTGTGGGAGAAGTATAACAGGTGAAGGTCTATAGTGCTCAAGTTACTAAAATGCTCCTGAAAGGGACACAGCTTAATGGAAGTGTTTTAATTTAAGGATGCATTGTGAGGCACATCTTTCTCTGGAATGGATGACCTTAGAGATGCAGCATGCAGTCCAAGCAGATGCACATGGAAAACCATGAAAAATTCACTTTCCGCTGCAGACACGGTCACACAACACCAATAGAGAATGGAGGCAAGACTGCAAGAGTGACTTGTCCTATGCTGTGCTGGTATGATATCATATAAGTTTACCATAGCATGATGGGAAGTAATTTGTTTTCATCTAAAATGTAGAGCAGTCATGCTACAACAGAATTTCAATGTGAGATGATCTTTTTTAGGAAGGATTATGAACTGGGCTCTTGTATTTCTGGAGAAAGAGGGATTTTGCGGCTGTTGTGCATTATTACAGAGTACAGACCTTACAGTACTGTAATACTCATAAATGAATAATAATACTCTTCCTGTTTCATACGCAACTCTCCTTGAGCCCTGGCTTGCTTTTCTTTGTTTTTACAAAGCTAGCATAATTGCATAAGCTTTTGGACACCCGAAGTTAAGGACGTATGAACTTGGTCAACTTTTCTTTACCTAAAAAGGCCATGGCCGAAAGGCAAAAAAAAAAAAAAAAAAAGTACTGTACATCATGTCAAAAAAAATTTACTACCTGAAATGACTTTTAAGGTTTGCTTGATTGTTCTATAAGGTACTTGTGTGAGCATTAAGCAAATCAGAATTAAGATTTAAAGTAAAAGTTGGTGACTTCCTCTCCAACTATCCTCTAATTGCAAGGAGCTACTCCTACTTGCCCTGCCCTTTAGTTTTGATGGTACTTGGTCTTCAATTGCATCCATTTTTGTTAAGAAAAACGACGCAACACTTCAATGCTTAAATCCCCACCGAAGTTACAGTTTTTGGTAGGTATGACTTTCCAATTGGTTGGTCTGCATTATATGCTCTGTTCTTTCTCCTGAGAGTATGATTACTTATATATATAGAAACAAAATTTTGTTTTTCAGATATTGCTAACATACAATAATCAACATATTTATATATAATTTCTGAACTTTATGGTTTAACTGTGTCCATTAGTAAATTATATCTTTGATAATGGCATACATGATCAAAATTGGACAGTATTTTATATTGACAGTAGTTGTCTGTACTGTCATTTTCATCTGCACTACAGGTTGTATGCTCTTGGAAGACCATCATTTATCCAAGTTATGTTAGTGATGATTTGATTGAAGATTGCATTTTTAACGTGATTTTGTTTATTCATTCAGCTGGAGAAGATGATTACGAACCACAAATTGGATCTCTAGGTGGGAATCCTGGCGAGGGTGCAGAAGGCCATGGTCATGAAGGGTATGATGAGGGTCGCGGTCATGAAGGGGGTGATGAAGACCATGGGTCGAGTGCTGATCCAACGCGTATTGTTGATGCAGCCTTGGTGTGCTTCCACAAGAAACATGTAAGCTCACATAACACTTCTAAATCCTTACCTTTTAACTTTCTACAAATTGGTTGAGAATGGAGTTATGATATTCATGCTTTTGTTCCGTATTATAATCATTACAGTTGCAATGTTTATTTATTTTTATTATAAATAGTCTAGGCACCCTATAAATCCGTCGATCATAGAATCAAATTGAATTTATATTGCATTCTTAGCCGACTGAGATAGCCAACAGGCTTTTATGCAGATGACATACTGCAAGGTCAAACAAGCTTATTTATGTAGTATGCAGTTATGTCTTCTAATATTCTATCAGATGGTATTTTTAATGGGTAGATTACCTCGGCTCTTTTACATAACGGGTTGAATGGGTTGTTGAATCTTATTGCAAACCTTCTTGTTTTTGGCTCTCAAAGGTCAATATATGTTTAGCTCAAGTGAAGTCATTTTTTTTTTATGTAGCAGCTCTACAGCCAGTGTGACGAGTCCTGTAGACTTACAGAGAGTGGAGATCTCCATGTACCCCATGATCATGTCGATGAGTTCTGTAATGGGCCTTGCCTTGAAGAAACAAACCTCGTGCTAGATTGCATAGAAGGGATCATGGATCATTTTACGTTCTTTAACAAGGCCACCACTGGGGATGTTAGGGACATAATTCAAGCTGGCTGTGGCCGTGGAGAGAAAAGAGGTACGGTAGACTACATTTCTATTTCAGTTCGTTCCAAAATAATAGGGTACTTTCTAAATTTAGTAAGTTAAAACACGAACTAATTTATTTTACCCTTATTTAATGCATAATATATTTGTAATAAGGCGAAAATGTAAAAAATGAAATAGGGAATGATAGTTTTAATGGCTTGCTAAGATCCTTGAAATAACCACAAATCACGCGTGGCCTATTGCTAAGGGGGACGTAGAAATATTTCTGCTGATATACTCTGCATCTTTTTCTTGGTTTTTCTGAATGACTTCTCTTTCTTTCTGGCGTTTGAGAGCTCACTCTTGCTTGTTTCCTCGGAAGTCATTAATCTGATAACTTTCTGTACAGGGCATTTCGATGTAGGAGAGCATATTGAAGACGACAAAGGCGACTTTAACGCTGCTGGTAGCCTTGCTACCATACCTGTACTGTCTGGCATTGTGATTTCAATCACAGGGCAACTTTTATTACTACTGTAAAACTAGGGTAATTACTAATTATTGTGTGTTTCTAACTTATCGCGAATGCTACCTATGTTCCTTCTCCCCTTGAAGGTTGAATTATGTCATACTTTTGTTGTGAGGAGTACTAAAGTGTAGGAATTTGATCTATCTTACATGTTGTTGATGATTTCACATTATATTTTTAGAATGGAAATCATTGTTTCTTATTTGGTGTACTGGAATAATTGTTTGTCGCATTGTTCTAATTCATCATATGTAAGAATTACTCTTTAATATGTATTGAATGATGGCCGTTATGCTATGACTAATAACATACTTTGTACATTTCTATTTGAACTTATTGGTCATTTTGCTTCATTTAGAAAGTTACACATGCAATTTGGAGGTTCTTTTACTTCTTTGGAAGTGTAAATAATTGTTTGGTTGATTAATAGTTAAAGTACCATACGAGAAAAAAAAAATTAATGGCTGAAATAATACGCGTTTAAAATCATGAAAAGAAAACGTGTAAAAAAAATAATATAAAAAGAGGAATTAGTTAATTATTAATTTAAAGTATAAACTCACTATTACAAAGACTGTTGATCTTAATCTATAAGATCAAAACTTGATTTAAAAGTAATTCTTTAAAAATGCAAGTAATTGAAAATTTAAAAACAGGAGCTATTACAAAACCTGCTTTAGTACAGCATGTATATAAATTGCTTACAACAATTGGAATGTATAATTCATGTTACATGTTTATGTTTTGAAAGAATAATTATGCATGAAAGACATGAACCAAACATCTCTAAATCTTGTTTAAAACCTATTCTTCCTAGATTTGGAAGTTCCATCCTTAGAAACTGATGGATTAAGGGCAGAGTTTTTGACAGGATAAGAGGCCTCCATTGCAATCCCACACAATCCTTGTTTGTCAGGGATACCGCGCTTCATCCGTATGTAACCTTTCTCCCCCCATTGTTCTCCCCAGGAATTCTTTACAATCCAGTAGTCGGTACCGTCTAGGGAAGTTCCATAGCCTACAACTGCTACACCATGGTTCAATTCTGTCCCACATTGTCCACTGAACACCCCCTATACAAAAACACATCAATTATTAAATATAATTAGTCTCAATGTTTTAGTTTACAATATCACAATGTTAAGTTAGCTGTTCAGATCTTAGATATTTGGTTACCTCTGAATAGAACTGCATATCATGACTCCCTGCATCAATGGCCACAGACACAGGTTGGTTCGCGACAACTTTGAGCAAAGCGTCCTCATTATTCACAGGTACATCCTCATGCCCATTAATTGATACTTTTGGACTACTCATCTGCATTTTTATTAACATTAAGAAAATAATTCATAGTATGATTTATTAGTGGTATGTGCATAAATATTATACTTAGGGAAATTGCAGTACAACTTATGTATCATATATACTACATATGTTCTGCAGTGAAACCTTAAAGATGTTGCATATTCCTTGTGTAGCTATGTAAGGGTAGTTTTCTTCTGTTGTAAGACCGCCTTTTTGCTCAATAAAAGCGAAAGCCCAATCCATAAGGCCACCATTGCATCCTCTATTCTGAGAGGTGTCACAATCAACAAGCTCTTGTTCAGACAATGAAACCAGCTTCCCTGTTTTAATTTGGTTTATACCCTCAACCGATGCAGCTGTCGAAAATGCCCAGCAACCTCCTGTCAAGATTCACAGTAAAAACAATTCAGCAAAACAAGGAAAATTAGATGACTTGAACTGTCAAAAGTTCCTTACAAGTGACCCTAAACTTACCACAATGGCCTTGGTACTTAACAGGCGTAACAGCACCTTTCGCTCTCCAATCAACAGACTTAGGAACATTGTCGACACCTGCATACGTGAAGCTTTCGCTACCATCAGTCTTGTTGCCTCGAAGCGTCCGGTGGTAGTGAATCTTCGACCCAGCAAAGTAACTACCAAACTCATTTGTTGACATGTCAGCAAAGCTATTCAACTTTAGCTTGTAAGACTTGTCCATCTTATTAACTTGATAGACATGCTGCACATTCTCCTTAAACACCTTAAACCTCTTAACCTTGTCATCGAGGCTCCTCGACACAGCATACTGACTACTCCAACTCTCATATAGATCCCATAAACTATCCTCGGATCCTACATCCTTCTCTTGGATATCAAACTCACTAGATAGGCCGACAACCATTGCTAAGACTAAGGATACTAAAAAACACTTCATGTACTTCATATTTGGTTATACTACGATTTTCTTGTGATATGTTAACAGAATAGAAGGGGCTAGCTATATATATAGGACTAACAAGAGTGTTTGAGAATTAACAAAGATAAGATTTTATTGTTAAAGTTGTTATGCAATGACGAGTAATATTTATGTTAGCCATACAAGTTTGTAGTTCAAGTTGAATAAAATCGTCATTATATTATCTGATTTTTTAGAGTTGTGAAAAATGGGTTATAAAGTGCATAAAGGGGGAGGAAATGTGCAACTGCAATTGTCCTTTTCTTTCATACATGAAGATATTCTGAGACCTGAGAAATTGTTGCTAACAATCAGCATTTTGTCTATGCATAAGCATAACTATTTTTGTTGTTCTCGTCTATCTATCTTAGTACAAATTGAGATAAGATCATGCAACTTGAATAATTATTAAATGATTATTAAGTTTTTGTTAAAGTTTGATGCTTAAAAATTGTGACAAAGATGAATTCATTGAATTTATGTTGAAATGGATGGAATTCATTTTCACTCTTTGATTGAAATTGGTTGAGCATACATTTGCATTGCATTGTTTTTTTGGATTAAAGGATGAAATCGGTCACTATTTTACATTTTTTTTATTGTGAAAATGAACAATATTTCCTCCGTTCTCTAAATATTACAATATGAAGATGAAACACGGATTTCATGAATAGAAGAGAGATTAGAGAAGAAAGGTAGGAACTCATGCGATGAGAAGAGAGACAAAGAAGACATGTGCAAATAGGGCAATATTGTAATATTTGTGAAACTTTCTAAAATGTTAATTGTTGCAATATTTATGAAACAGGGGAGAGAGAAAGAGAAAAGACATGTGCAAATAAAAAAATAAACTTTCTAAAATAATAATGGTTGTAATATTTGTGAAATGGAGGTAGTATTTGACATTACTATTTCTATATAGCGTTCAACTTTTTAAAGTGAATACATTTTAAGTACTTACAAAATACTATACGGAGTATTATGTATGCGATTAATGATGAAGTACTATTTCATTTTCCCCACGAAATTGCTCCTTATATACTCATAGATAATTTATCCCGTAAGGCCGTAATTAATGCTAGCTTTGGTTTCTTTCAAATTAAAAAAAGGTGATATTTCTTACTTTATTTATTCAAAAAATCTTATATATATTAGGAATTTTTAGGTATGCTATGTTTACCTTATTTTCACTTATTTCAGATTTAATAAATTTAGATAAGTTCAATTCAAGAAAAATAAGTTTTGATAAGGATATTCCAAGTTCAAATTACACCTAAAATAAGTTTAGATTCAAAGTTGTAAGAAATTGCAACAACCAGTTTGGATCTAATTTTTGGAACGGAATTGCACCTTTCTTTAATCCACTTTAATGGTTAACTATCATCTTGCAATAATAATCCAAATGGTTCCAACTTCCAAATCGGTCCAATTCTAGACATAATCTCCCTTAGTTTAAGTACATACTAATATACAATCATAATTAATATACCATTTACAGTTTTACACGGCCACCATCAACTAATATACCATTTCGCATCAAACATAAGAATTTTTTGTGTCAAAAAAAAAAAAAACATAAGAATTTTTACCTTTTACTCATAGGTTACCACAATTGGCAAAAAGGGGAAAAAAAAAACTTTTTCTGATCTACTTCTAATTTGGTTGGGTTTTTTTCACTTAAAGTACATATTGTCGTATAATACAATCATAATAGATTTACTTCTTCCGTTGACTAAAAAACATTTAATCTCATCATTTGACCATTTATTAGCATAATTATTCCCCAAAAAAAACCATCTTTCTCTCTCTAAAGTCTAAAACCATGTTAAAATTATCAAACATGTCAATTTCTAATAATCTTCCATCATCAAAAACTACATTCATCATTACATGTTTTACTCTAATTTCTTCTATTCTTTTTATACTTAATTACCAATCAACTTCTACTAATGAATTATTGTCAACTGCATCAACGTTGACTTTCCAAATTTTCAACTTTTCCAATCCTGTTTCTCACGATCCACCTTCAAGTAACAAAAATACTTGTGACATTTTTGATGGAAGATGGGTTTTTGATGATTCATACCCGATTTATGCACCCGGGTCGTGTTCGTATGTCGAAAACGAGTTCAATTGCTTTAGAAATGGTCGCCCTGATTTTGGTTATTTGAAGTATAGATGGCAACCTTATGGTTGTGACATTCCAAGGTCTAGTCTTTAATTTCTCTTCTTTTTTTTTTTAATTTTTTTTTAACAATAATAGAAATCAGGAAAAAAAAACAAGGAAATGATTTCAAACATTGAATGTTGTCACATAGATTTAAGTCTCTTAAATTTTGTAATTTAATATTGAAATATGACATTATTGTTGAATTGAACTTGCCTTTGAAAGTACGTAATACTAAATCAAAGATGAAGTAAAATTTTGGTCAATATTTATTACAACATAGATTAATCATTAATGTTGTTTTATTTATTTATTATAAATTAAATTAGCTAATTGCATTTTTGTTAATTTGATTAAATAGGTTTGATGCAAAGAAGATGATGGAGATGTTAAGAGGAAAGAGATTAGTGTTTGTGGGAGATTCACTAAACAGGAATATGTGTCAATCTTTGGTTTGTTCTTTGAGGATGTTTCAAGGACAAACCTTTAGAAACAAATTAAATTATAACTATTATTTCAAGGTAAGTTTATCTTATCAAATCTTGCACTATTCTTGATTGTATAATCTTAAGAAAAGTTTCCATCTTTAAACTATTGTACATTTGTACTCCCGCCATTTCATAATATAAGTTAGGTTTCTGATGTCAAATCTTGATTATTAGTAATTTTTCGATGTTTATAGGATTATAATTGCAGCATAACACTAATCACATCACCATTCCTAGTCCAACAACGTCATCTTCCAAAGAAAAACGAAAAATTGAGGCTAGATATTCTGGATGGTATGATCTACAAACACCGTGATGCTGATTTTCTCATCTTCAACACTGGACATTGGTGGAATCATAACAAGTCTAGAAATGGGTATGCAAATTGATCTTAAGACAAGCTTTTTCTTATTTCAATTGCATATTAATTTCAATTTTGTGGCTACATACGTATGCTCATTTTTAGTTACTCCCTTTTTTTTTTTTAATTAAAAAGAAGTTCATGTGTTTTGAAGTTGCTATAAGTCTATAACACGATAAATGTACCTTTTGCAGGGAGAATTATTTCCAAGAGGGTGATATTATACACGAAAAAATGGATGTTGGAGTAGCATACGCCAAGGCATTAAAAACATGGGCTAATTGGGTTGACAATAATGTCAACACTAGCAAAACTAAAGTCTTTTTTAGAGGCTTTGCTCAAACTCATTTCATGTAAGAAAATTTTCTGATGTTCAATTTTTTTTTCTTAAAATTTCAGATTGTGTAATATTAATCTTCTGTTTTATTGAACTGATGCAGGGGAGGTGATTGGGATACTGATGGAGTCTGTCACAATGAAACAGAACCAATAACAGACGAAAAATTGTTAAAACCATATCCATTTTTGATGCAAGCTCTAGAGAAAGTAATCTCAGAGATGAAGACACCAGTAACATATCTCAACATTACCAAATTGACTGATTATAGGAAAGATGGGCACCCGTCTATGTACAGACACCGGGGAAGAAAAAAGCCGAGAGCGATTCAGGATTGCAGCCACTGGTGCCTCCCTGGAGTTCCTGACTCTTGGAATGAACTTCTGTTTTCATCTTTGTTATTTTCTTCTGAAGGGTTTAACAGAACAACTTACTAGTTTGTCCTGTTTTTTCTTTGGCCTTTTTGTATTGGTACAGTTTAACCACATAAACAAATGTTTGAGAAACGTGAGGAGAGTTTCTTAATGTTACTTTCGACTTATTTTTTTAATAACGTACTTTGTACATATATACACAAACGACAACGATTGTTGGAAATGGTAATGCAAACGGATTCTCGCGTCCGATCGGGCGGTGGTTCGCCCGATCGGGCGGAGTTGGCTAAGGAAAATAGGAGGGCTCTCGCGCCTGATCGGGCGGCTCTGCCCGACCGGGCGACGAAGTTGAGTTTTGACGAGCCCGATCGGGCGGCTCTCGCCCGATTGCTCGCCCGACCGGGTGCGACACCAGGTCTGGAAAACTTTATCTCGGGCCTGATCGGGCGGATGTTTGCCCGATCGGGCCCGCCTTTTTTCCTAGGTTGGTTTATTTTATTTTTCTTCGATTTTCGGGACTCGTATAAATATGAGCATCGTCTCTCTATCTTTATTCATTCACTTTCAAACCAAAAACTCAAACCTACCCTTTGAGATCTGAACACTTCTTGAGCAATTCCACTCTTCGGATTCGGGTGCACGGATTACGGAGAGAGTTGCGTTAAACTTGGGGGGCGTGCGTCACTAGGAAACTTGTACCGGTGATGGCGTATTTCGCTTCTAAGGCAGTGGATTATTGTTCCACGGCGCGACTGTGAATCCAGGAAAATTCTAATCTTTTGTTTGTATTGTTATTGATTTCAACAGTTATTTTACCAACAACGACTATTCTACACTATACATAGACTTTTGAGTCCATGCACACCTTGTTACATGTCACCATAATACAAGAATTCATATGTCATGTCATTGTGTGTACTAAAAAAGATCCCTTAAATCTAACATACTGTACAAAATATTTTTTGAACAAAACAAGTAATTAATGTGATATATTATACTTTTTAGAAGACATCAATAAATTCAAGAAACAAAGAGAAGCTGGTTTCATGAGCCGGGAACACCAACTTAGGGAGGCACCAATGGCTACAATCTTGAGTTATCCCGAGCCGCCTCTCAGTCCCCGGTAGCCGGTTTATCGAGGAGTGCTCATCTTAGTAATGTTAAGATACACAACAAGCCGGTGTTTTCATCTTAGAGATCACTGATTCAAAAATCTTCATCATCCAAGGATATGTTGCTAACTACTTATCATCAGTTATTGGTTCTGTTTCTCCATCACATTATAATTGTACCATAGAGTAAAATTAGTTGCGTGGGCAGTGTGCTGGTGCAAGGGAGAGTTGGTGTTTTGGTGTGAAGGAAGTAGGGGAAGGTGTGGTGTAGGATATCGGAAGGTGTGGTGTAGGATAAACTGGCAGCAGTAGGTAATGATTTTTAAGAGATTGAAAAGTTTATATAGGGTGATACATATGCATTTTGTCAATCCACTTCACTCAATCTCATCCGACCTTATATGATAGATCATAAATTATTTATCCGATACGATTCATTGGGACATACATCAATATTTTCAATGTACCAAAATCATTTACTACGAGTCTATGATCCATTTTGATCGTTGTCTAAATTCAGTACAAGTTGTAGATATATAATGTAGGGGAGGTCGGGGGGGGGGCTTAATTAGTTAGGTTATTAATGCACGCATAAGTACATTCCTATCTAGCTTGTACAATTATGGTACAATTATAACCCTGAAATTACATAACTCTATGGTACAATTATATAATCCTGAAATTACATAACTTATTATCGATCACCAATTGATTTAACTAAGTGCATGACGCGAATCATACTCCCAAGTGTAGAATCCAATTGGTTTTAAATTACATACCTCAAATTTGAAAGATGTCTTGCCAGAAACTTGGAACACATAACCAAAGACATTCTTAAAGAAGAAACTAAAGATTCCCACATGTTTATGTAGGACAATAAATTTGATCAAGTGACTATCATATACTTCTACATTGTAATTCATATTTTAGATAAATAAATAATTTTTAAATGAACTTTTTTGTCACAAGTATAACTATGTGGTATGTGTGAATATGTATAGTATGTGTATATAATAGGAAAATGGAAGGGATAAAATGACAAACAAAAAATTACTTAAAAAACTTTGAAGGGAAACTCTTCTTTTTATATAGTATAAAATTTCAATTACATTACAATATCACATACACCACTACTACACATGATGATCCTATAATAACTAACACACTATATATACAATACCAAACTAACATCGGACTAATACAACTAACTAACAACATTAGCAATAAGAAACTAGAACAAAAGTCATCATATGAGCTAAGCAACTAACCCTAATAATAAGTATGGTTGAAGCACATGCATCAATCTAAGAGGCAGAAGCAAAATCCCTAATAAGTATCATGTGAGTCAACACCACCACTTTAATAGTTGTGGACAATAAACATGATGAAGTCCCTCCTTTGTGATTGTGCTAAATCCCTTGGTGACTTTTGTAATCGGCGGAGTACTTGAACACTTAGGTCTCATTTTGCTTCGCCGATTAAGAAGAGGATATCTACTCTTCTTCTTTGTTGGCCTTCGATGCACATAATTGGCTTCACGACCCCATTCTAAACCCCTTGAATTTAGATATACAAAATGTGTCTTTTTCTCCCAACCGATCAAAACAACAAGGTGACCATGCTCAATAAATATTTCCCTTTTTTCTCCATTATGCTCATTTTGAAATGAAAGATACTCAGCTTTTCCTCCTCCCTTAAAAAGGGAATAGCCATCATGATCAAATCGACCGGTCACCATTAATTCACCTAAAACTCCCCCATATACCACAATTGCTCTTTTGATATCTTCCACGGAGCATAGCCTTGGATCCAAACCCTTACACCAATGGAGATTGTAATTCATTGTTGCTTTGATGACCAAGTTATTATTTCTCACTCTATATCGATTCTTAGATGCAAATCCCTTAGAATGAAGATCAAAGAGGAGATTTGTTGTTGTTTGTTGTTCCACACTTGGCCTTGAGTGATGAACTTCTATTAGTGAAGGAAGAAAATCACAATCAAAATTTGCACGTCCACCTAATTTGATTAGGATGTTCTTTTGTAGTTGTAGTAAGGCATGAGTAGCATATGGAATACAAAGTGCTGCCATACATCAAATTTAATAATCATTAGTAAACTAAATAATGTAAATAAATAAATTCCCAATGTAAACAAATAAAATTTGAGGTTGCATCAATCGGGGATACACGACGAAAGGAATCGCTAAAAAAGAGGGTTAGTTTAGTAAAGAAGAAAAGTGGATTCAAGAGCTTCCCAAGCTCTATGCTGTTGGGGAACTCTGCAAGGGTCTTTGTTTCTTTCGAATATCCATTTGCAATTTCCAATCAACAACAGGCAAATCTATAGCAGGCCAAGCAGCTAAGAAGAAGAGTAAAGAACGAGAGTTGTTGAAACTAGCCCCTAGCCTTCCAAGCTAACGATGCGGGTTCGGGAATGGATCGGTTAAACATTATATTAGGGGAATTCATTTCTTTTTTGAAAAAAAAGAATCAAAGATTATTCCGATACCCACGGAGAAGCACATTATAGTACTTGTATGCTGCTAGCCCTCACAAAATGGAATTTTTTTATATGAACAAGATTAGTATAGAAGAGTTGGGCTCTACCACTGAGCTACTGAGGAACAACGGGAGACTCGATCTGATAGAGTTCCATTCCCTCGCTATCAACTTCTTGACCTAAAAAAAGTAATCTTTCTCGATAAAGGAGCGAATCCTTGGGTAAAAATAGCACTTGGTGCGGTTATTGTACTTAAAGAGTTTTTCTCTTTTTTAAAAAAAAGGCTTCCCATTTGCAATTGCACAAAAAAGACTATTCATCTCAGCGAGGGCTACGAAAAATTCTGGGAAAACCCCTTTGAGCGAAATGCGGCAAAAGGCCATTAGAGTTCATTTATTTGAGCTTTTAAGAGCCATGTGAAAGCCAAAAACTACTCGACCCCGTACATCTGTAACAGTCACAATGGTATTATTGAAACTTGCTTGAACATGAATAATTCCCTTTGGTATTTTACGTGCACTTTTACGCGAATTAATACTGAATTGCTGAAAACAACAAGGTGATTGGATTTCACTTGATTGTCTACGGCTCCATTGCGTGTGCTCGAGGTAGAAGTTTTGTATAAATGTATCGCCATGCTATTAAGTATTTTGATTCTACCACTCACTCGCATGCCTAAGCTCCTTCTCCAAACGTAGAGCACGCAGAGCTTTGAACCCAAATAAATAGCCGAGGCATTGAGGAATATCCAGAAAGGCATTTCGGGCGGGGGAAATGGGTTAAAAAGGGACAAATTTTATCTTACCAAATTGGTATACAATTCTATTTGAATTGTTGCAAGGGCAACTTCTATAATAGAAAGCATTCAGTGTTGATCCGCCCCGATATCCGCCATAAAAGGGCCGAGCCATAATAAATGAGAAGCTATTCGACTTAACTCCAACATAATCACTCGGAAAATTCGCCCTCCGGGTTTTATCAATTTGCACTCCCCAGGAAAAAGGATATCTCCCGAAAAAATTTTAAGTTCAATTTTTTTTTTTTCCGGCTGCAAGCTTTTTCTGTCCGTGAGGATCCCACCAGAGCGCCTTCTACTTCTAATAGGTATCACATCCCGGATCTGATGAAATAGGATGAATTGAGAGCTAAAAAACCGATCCTTATTTACCAACCACACATTGTCTAGCCAAATCCGTTACCATAGGGAACATAGAGTAAATATCAATAAAACGGAAAAGTGAGCTAATCCAACTAATCTTGCTTGTACAATGGAAAGAGCCACTGGCTCCCTTTCATTCATTCTGGGGTGACGGAAGGATTCTTTCCAAAAGTCGTGAATGCAAATAAAAAACATCTCCTGGGGGTTTGAAACCAAACTTCTCCTCAGGAGGATAGATGGGGCGATTCAGGTGAGATCCAACCACCAACTAGCTAATCAGACGCGAGCCCCTCCTCGGGCGGATCTTTTACTTTTTTTCATAATGTGGGAATTAGAATTAATTCCTGTTTATCTACTTTTATCCATGTGGGGCGAAATATGGACAAATGGCAGTTTAACTCCAAAAGAAGCCGTAAAAACTTCGTTTGAGGAATGGGCCAGACCCGGTCATTTTTCAAGAACGTTTGCTGTCAAATTACCGATTATACCTTTACATACATGGTTACCCAGATGGAGGAAAAGGGCACCCCAAATGACAACCAGACCCCTGGAGGGGGGGCAACCGGAAATGATAGTGAAAACCCTCTTGCCAGAGTATCAAATCCATCTAGATAAAATATTGAACCGGTTTCATTTTTTTTTTCTTTATTCTGGTTGATTGCCTTTTTTTTTTACGACAAGTTTTAAATCTTAATGCAGGCAAGGTAATGCCAATTCACTTAGACGTCTTTGGACCAAAAACAAGCAAGAGGCGGAATACCACAAAGCGAAAGGGAAAAAAATGTGAATGAAAGATCCCACTGAATTAAATTGGGTCCATGAATCTAAGAAATAGTGAGAATAATGATTAATGAAGCATGATTACACTAATACAAGATCTTTAATTAAGAATTTACCAATTAACGCTTTGCTTGGATAGCAAAGAAGGAAGGAAAAGAAGGGGAGGGGAAAAGAAGGGGAGGGGAAAAGGTAGAAGGGAAGGGAAACGAAAGAAAGGGGAAGGTGAGCTCCATTTTTCTCCAAATCTCTCCAATTTTGGAGGGATTATGCTATTAAAAAGAGAGGGAAAATGGATCTCTCCTTCTCCTTCCCCTTCCCCTTCCTCTTCCTTCCCCCAACCCTTTACTTAAACAAGAGAATTTGTCCCCCTCCCTTTCTCTTCTTTTCTTTTCCTTCTATCCAAACAAAGTGTAAATGATCCAAAAAAAAATTTACAAAATTTGTAAGCCAAACAACTTTAACAATGTAGTACATGCAAAACTATACAACAACAACGAGAAAATCTATTACATAATTGTAGAGTCAATTCACCACAATCTCCCAAATCTCCAATACTCAAATTTTATTGATCACACTTAAAAAAATAAAAATTAAAAAAAAATTAAAACCAATAACTACCCATCGGATTATTTTTTAAATTTTTTTGTATTCTTTTTTCAAGGGATACTAAGAGCATCTCCAATAGGAAGCTACAATACCTTGTAGCTTACTTTTTTTATAGATAATTTATTTATATATTTTTTTAAAAAAAATGGTAGTTGAACTAAATATATATATAAGATAAGAAGTATTGTGTAGGATTAATATTTAAATCAATGTATAATATATATAAATCATGCTATGAAGGTATCATGTTTAAAAAATACAAAATAAAAAGAAGAAGAAGAAAAGATAGGAATAGGATCATACTTTCATACACATAAGTGTTGATCAGAACATATAGATCGATTGGCTACATAAATGTATCTCATTGAAGTTTTTTTATTTTTATCTTAACCTGATATTCCCATAATTAAATTAATTTGTCATAGATCCAAAAATAATAAATTTATTACAAAAATTTAATTTTAAGTCAAACTACTTAAACAATAATGTAGTAGTTCATGCAAAACTATACAACAACATCAAGGAGAATATAAAAAGTAACGTTAAAAGATCGATTAAACAAAAATTGAGATTAATAAACCAACCTCCAACTTGGTCAATTGGAATTGGGACAGGATTATATCCTAATTGCCATGGTTCCATTTGAAAAGAAAAAGGTTCGGTCCATAAGAATTGGGATTTATTGATCATATCATGAATATTTCCAAGAAATTGAGAAAGTTTCTTCGTCAAGAAGGTTTGTTCAACACTTTCTTCTCCCAAAAGTAAAACCCTAGTTTGTAATTGCATGTCATCTAAAAACCCACTATCATCATCACTCATTTTGACCCTTTTCTTTACTTCTTCGTCAACATCATCACCAACAACTCTATCCTTGCCTTTTTCCTCTCTTGTAAATCTTGTCATCTTTAAAGAATGAAATTCTAATAAACCAAATTCTCTTAGAAACCCTATAAAATTTCAATAGAATGAAATTCAAATTAGAAACCCTAATTTTTTTCAAAATACACGTACTACAACACTTATAAATGCAGTAAAATCGATTATGGGGGTTTTAAGTGATGCGAATTGCACTATCCTTGTTATATCTACTCGTTGTAACGCTGTCCCCCCATTATCGATCAAATGTGTTGGTTTCGAGTATAGTATTTTCGATTTATGCGTTGAAGACTCAAAAATGGTGGAAAGCTAAAAGTTTAAAGATGACTGTTCGAGAGGAAACGAGAGAAATGAAATAAAATTGAATAACAAAAAAAAAAATGGGCAAACAACTTTTTATACTACGTGAACTCGTGAAGTACAGTTTAGTTAGTTTAGTTAGTTTTTTTAGTTTCTTTCGGCAGCTGGAAAAACAAGAAAATATTACTCGTTTGGCTGAGTAGGCTTTTTTTTACAGCTGGAAAAAAAAAAAAAGGGTTTACATGAAAATATTATGGCTAGGTAGTATTAGCTCAGATTTTTTCTTGGTTCAAAGTGGTTGTCACAAGACTCTTGAAGGTGTATTCTAAAAGCATTCGGGCATGACAAATGATACGTGGGAGGACATTGAATTGAAGGCTCTTTTAGCAATTCAATTATGTCTCTCTGATGATGTTTTGAGAGAGGTTGCCAAGGAGATGATTGTTATGGGTTTGTGGTTGAAGTTGGAGTCACTTTATATAACAAAGAGCGTGACCAACCGTCTACTACTCAAATCTAGACTTCATCTTCGTCTAGAGGAAGGTAAATCGCTTAAGTCTTATTTAGATGATTTTTTCTCTATTATTATGGATTTGCAAAACATCGATGTTGAGATCGATGATGAGGATATGACTGTTAGGTTGTTGTGTTCTTTACCGCCTACGTATAAGCACTTTCGAGATACTTTATTGTATGGTAGAGATGATTTGAGTTTGGAAGATGTTAAGGATGCCTTAACCCAGAGAGATTTAATTGACAATAAGTTGGTTAAGTCTAATTATAATCCGGCTCAAAATAATGCTTTAGTTGCTCATGGTGGTGATAAGAATTTTGGTAGAGCTGAGGAAAAGTTTGCAACTATTTTCATGTGAAGGGTCATATCAAAGCCGAGTATTGGAAATTAAAGAAGAAGAATGAGGAGAAGTCCAATGAGGAGAAGTCCGCAAATATTGCCAACACCGATGATGATCATGATTATGCACTTTGGGGTTATGAGATTTGGGGTTGCGGTTTCTACGATCTCTTGCCCCTTTGAGATCTCTTGGTGAAACGAGAAACCTTGTGGATTTTGGTATGGAGTCTATATATGATAGATTGTTTTTTTTATTTTCGTTTGTAATAAAGTAGCAATCTTGGTTATGCATTAGATTTTATCTAGTTATGCCATTTCTTATCTCAATTTTGGTACTTTTATGATTTCCTAAGTACAATTGCAATTTAGAAATTCTTGATGTAATTTTATTTTTCTAGAATTGCTTAAGTTTTTAGTTTGTTTTGAGATGAAGATCGAAGTGTTTGAAGAGAGTTTGGTCATTTTTGATAAGCATGCTTGGCGTTGTGATATTATACTCTCAATCTAGGCCATGTGATGGCAAATTTGTACTTTTACATTTCTCTCTCTTCCTTTAACCCACTACCAAAAAATATGTGTCCAACTCTTATGGTGCAACAAACTTGGTAATCAAAACTGATTCTGTTTCTGTCATCCGGGCACTACAGCAACCCGCAAATGCAGCGGTGGAATTAAAGAGCATAGCACATGACTTTGTTAACTCAGCAAAAATGAGGAGCTTTGTGTTCTGTATTAAGGTGGATAGAGCGGCTGTATCAAAAGCTCATCTCCTTGCAGTCAAATGTAGAAGAGAAGGATAGTGATTTTGATTTCTAATTTGTCCCTCTGTCAAAAAAAAAAAAAAAAAAAAAAAAAAAAAACATTTATTCATCATATAAAATGCACCTAAGAGTGTTTTTCGTTTTTGTGATAGATTCATACCCTATAGGCCTATACTTGTAACATTGGTTTAAACAATTTTATCACATATTCTTAGGTGCACACTGATGCACCTAAAAATAGGTGTAACAACAGCACAATATGAACATTAGCTTTTGAGAAAGTGAACATTAACTTTTTTCTCCTCTATTTTTCTCATTCGTTTTTTATTTTCTTTCTCCTTTGTTTTATTCCTTTTTTTTTTTACACTTTTTTGATTGAATTTGTTTCTTACAACATGAAAGTAGTTATTAAGTATGAAATTTTTTGTAAATTTCGATTTTGTGCTTTAATTTCAATTGATTAAGGTTTATATGAATCTTTGAATTCACAAATTATACTCTGTTTTTTCTCCTTCCTTATTTAATTCCTTTTTCCTCTTTTTTTTTTTCTATTTTTCTCGTTTTGTTTTGATTTAACGATTGAATCTGTTCCTTACAATATGGAATTGGTTGTTTATCTGATTTTTTGAATTCATATGAATTGATTTTTTTTAGCTTTGATCAATTTCATATGTGTTTCATCTGATTTTCTGCATTTTTTTTTATCAATGAACATAATCATGCAAAATATGAACATATGCATAGGTTCTTCAAATATGCGTAAAAAAATATGAACATATGCTATTAAGAAAGAGAACATATGCATAAACAGACTTAATGAGAATATTTATGAACAATAAATATTTACTATGAATATTTACATTATGAACGTATAAAATATTATTATGAATATAAAACATTTAATTATGAACATAAAAAAATTGAAGAAATAAAAAATAAATATGATTATGAAACATATCCTTAAACCTTATAAACATGCAAATGTAAATACTGTAGCTTGTGAATAGTGCTGTGTGGTGCTATTACAGCCTTGCCCCCAACATTAATGCATTGCCCATTTTGCCCCTTATTCCTATTGTTTGTTGCCTGCTGCTCTCCAACTGACTTACTCTCTCACCCTTACTTGGCCTTTACTCTGCTGCTGTTCCCATTTTCCCCCTCTGTATTTTCATCTCAGAAGGAAAAAGGGGAAGGAGAGAGAAACCTACAGAGAGAAACCTCTGTATTATCATCCCTTTCGACGATTTTTCGAGTCTGAGGTTGTGGAAGATTTTCCGATCATCACATTCATCAGGTTTGATCTCGTTTCTCTTTCTCGATTTAGTTTCAAATTTTTAGGCTTTACTTGTTCGATTGTCGTGGATTTTTTGCATATATGTTCTATGTTTCCGAATTTTTGGGGTTGAATCTTTGTGGGTGTATTTGTGCGAAATTGTTTCGTTTTTAATGGGGTTTATTTGATCGATTTGTTTTCGATTTATTGGGTTTATTTGTTCGATTGTTTTTCGATTTTTTAAGGGTTTATTTGTTCTATTTATTTTCGTTTTTGGGTTGAATTTTAGTGCCTTCTTTGATTGTGTGGTGGTTTTTTTGGGTTGAATTTGAGTGATTTATCGTTTGTTTTAGGTTGATTTTTTTTTATTATTATTATTGTTAGTAGTATTATTGTCTGATTTGTCACAGGATTGTTAATCTCCAGGTACAATTCTATCTCTCCTTTCTCTTTCTTGTTCAAATTGGTTCAATTTTCATCTAATCTTTAATATGAATGTTGACTGTGTTTTTTTTTTTTTGGGTTATTTCTCCTCTTTTTTCCTTTCTTTTCTATGTTTTTTTTGGTAATTCTTCTTAATTATAATCTGAATTTCGATTGTATACAAAGTCAAGCTTATAGTGAGCAAGATCATTAATGAATAAGGAAGAAGCAGAAGTGCGGACTTTGTATTCATTTATATTCTACATTTTTTTATCTTCATTTACCTCTTATTCTTACTTCTTTTACTACAATTTCATCGAATTTTCTCAATTTTCTTGGGTTCTTTCATTTAATTGTTTTCGTTTTTTCTTTACTAATTATTTCATATTCTTAGTAATTTTGTCAATTTTTTTATGTCATTTGATGAATATGATGATCTTACGTAAAATGGGTACTTAGATTTGTTACTTAATTACTTTGTAAGTTAAAAAAGTTACCCACAATTAAGGAATGATAATAAGATAAAGGCTACATTTAATCGTTTGTTGTTAAATTATGGGTAATTTTAATTTTCATCATATTTTTTTGTAAAAGATTGATAGAATTTTCTTTACATTTTTGAAAATGGCAACTTCGAGGAACAAACCATGTTTTTCTTACTATTTTGATAAAAAAATCTGAAGTACACAATCTGAACCAATTTCAGCATTTAAACTCTAAAAATGACAAAACCAACAACGTTAGATCAGCTGCCAGAAGATGTAGATGACTTGATTGACCTCAACTTGCTGTTCTCAACCCCATTTTGTTGAAGAAACCTTGCAGCAGGATCCTGAGGACAATGCAGACAAAAACGCCGTGAGTCTATAATGCTTGATTGCATAATGTATTATTGTTCTCAGTTTTTGGAGTTATTTATCATATAATTCCTTTTCTTTAGTATCTAAACCTTTCACAATTTAGTGAGTTGCTATTCACCTTTAGTTCTTGACTGTGTGTGTGTGTGTGTGTCTGTGCTCGTGCCTGCGTGGCTGCGTGTACTGATATTTGTGCTGTGCTGAACTGCTGATCCTATATGGAATATGTATTTACCATCCATTTTCATTCACAGAAATTTTAGTGCAATATACTAAATTAACCATGAGTACACGTAGTTAACACTATCTACATTTGTAGATTGATCTTGGTTGTATTATGCTTTTTTCTAATTTTGTTTTGACCTTGAGTTTAGATAAGTTCAAAGTATTAACTCATAAGCTATGCTAAATTCTGATGAGAGCTTCCTACTGCTTATTCCAACATCTCAATTTGAAACAAAATCCACAATAAAATTAGATTACAAGTATGAACCAAACTACAAAAATTCCGTGAACAAGGAAGCCATAGAAGCTGCCAGAAATGGGAAGAGAAATGCCACATCCTAAGCCCATAATCATTACGGTTGATTCACCTTACCTCCAATTGCACCTCCAATCTGATGATGTAGTATTAATAAGTGTGCAGGTTTTAGTAGTATCGCTATAAAGGTTCCTCGATTGACTGATAAATGCTTAACCCTTTGTTTCTTGTGATTTTGCTATTTTTGTTTTGAATTTGTTATGGTGGATTGAATTGATTCTCTGCTGATGCTGTCTTCAGTATTACTGGACTCTTGGAAAGCAAGGGTTCCTCTTGGTTATCTCTTACTCCTTAAATTTGCTTTGGGTTTTGTATTATAATGCTTATTTTTCTATCAATTGTGTGCATTTTTGTATTAGTTGTTGAATTCTGGACATTTAGCTAGGTGTAAATTACAAAATAAACTTGATCATATTCTACATTCAAAGAATAAACCAAAAATTGGGGCAAACAAACAATCTAAATCAAAATAAGGCTTGTCTATGGGTAGTATCAGTTTATATTTATGAAAATGAAGAGGATGTGAAAGAAAGAGCTAACACGTGGTAATATAACTGTCAAGGTTTTCTTTGAGTTTTGATCTGATGAACAGCTGCTATTAGTGGGTAGATACTGGGAAAACACTAACCACCTTTATCATTTTCCATGATTACCTTTTGTTGCCATTGGTCATTACTTTCTGAAGCTTTATTAAATCAATTTATAATCTGTTTTCTTGGAGAATGAAGATAATGTGATTGCTTGTTAATCAGTTGGGGACGGTGGGTAAAAAGCGCTTCGACAATTACAAGCTGAAGAAGATGAAGAGGAAAGGTGGTAACCTAATCATCTAATGATTCACTCCACTTATTGTGCTTCCCATCCTTAAGTATGTAGACATTTGATTATTTATTTCCCATTAAAAGGTGCTTACACTGTTACCCATGTTATGTAAAGTATTTGGCTTGTCAAATTTGGATATCTTTTCTGTTGATCTTTGGGTCAAAGTCTCTTATGAGATCCCTTGATTTTAGATATATATTTGATGCACAGAATCTATTACTTGATTCTTTTTATATCTGGCTGCGTATGATCTAGCTCCCTTGTCTGACTGGTGTCCATTATGAATTGTTTGATTTACAGAAAGGTTAACCTTCACAAATTCCAGCAGTTGAAGTTGAGCCTCAAGGATGCTCTTTTAATCCAGAGGATGAGAGTCACAAGGTTATTAGTTATTACCCAATATCTCTTATTGTTTTGCGGTTTTAACCACATCAAACGTTTACTTAATTTTAATCAATGAGCATTTTAGGACTCCTTGGCACAAGCTGTTGCAGAAGAGATGAAGAAAATTTATAAAAAAGAGCTGGAGCCTGAGCCAATTCCTTTAACTGTTCCTGGAGAACCAGTCACTGAAGATGATGTAAGTTTTTATTCATTTTAGCCTGCCTGGTTTGAGCCTTGTGCCATTTGTAGTTGTCTTGTGAAGCAACAGAAGATCCTGACAATAGTAACATTTATCGGAAATATTTTCTGGAAGTGGACAATGAAGACGATGAGGAAATGGACGAGGAAAATCAAACTGAAGATGGGAATATCGAAGATGAAAAAAGGTAAATTTTGCATTACTTTTATAAGTAGAAGACTTGTACTCTTATATATGTGTGCCATAACTTAGAAATTATGTTGGACTCGGAGTTGGTACTTCTGAAATATTTGGCACAATATTTTGATTTTTGGTACAAAATATGATCTTTTTACTCCATGTTTTTTGAAAGGTTTTTCTTTTTCTTTCACAAAAGTAATGTTACATACTTCTTTTTCGGTTTTTTTTTTTTTTTTTTTTTTTTTAAATTAAATAAAGAAGCTATGCCCAAAATTACCTAAATATTTTAGACAAAATAAATATTTATAATTTGATAATTTATTGATTGTTTTGTGTTGCAGTTACTGAGGATGAAGTGGATCTTTTATATGACTTATTCAATAAACTCAGCAACTCTGTTGTGAAAGATGGTTTTATTCAAAAGGTATATAAATATCCTTGATGTATAAGTGATAATCTGTTTTATATGGTAGCAAATGAAGAGTTGTTATGTATTATATTATTGCTATATCAAGTTATTATTGTTTCTTTATTCTAATACAATTATCAATTATGATGATCAGGAAGAACTTCAACTTGCATTATTTAAGAATAGTATGAAGAGAAGCCTTTTTCTTGACAGAGTATGTGTTTCCTTTTTGTTGTTAGATGCTGATGTCCCATATTTCATGCAAGAATTTCCGATCTATAGTTGTTCACTTGTTCTTTTTCCTTAAGTTTACAGAATACTGAAGTATTTTTTGCCTTACAAGATAAGTTGAGCAGTGTTTATTAAGTATGAACTCTTGAAGTTATATTACTTCAGAATTCAGAAAACTGGCTTTGTCTTGCTTTCATGGGTAGAACATGGAGGCTGGTTCATTCATTGGGAACTCTTATCTTAAATGTCAATCTGCATTATTTCATCTCATCATATTGCAGATGCTAATAGTTGGCCAAAAGCTTATGAGTGTATCTCTTGCAGTTATTTAGATACTATATTATGACTGCTGTTATGCTCTTAAACTAAGCTAAAATTTTGTAGAGTTGGTGGATTTGCACTTGCAAGTTAATGCCAAGTACATTAAGATTAAGACTTTGTTGTTGACCTTTTGAATATGATTTTCAGTACTGTGGACTGCTGGTAGATGTATAAACACTATGAAGTGCTAAACTTCTTTATTGTGTACTTTGTCTCTGAAGAGCTTAGTAATTTTTTATTGAACAATTGAGGACAAAATTTATAATTTTTTTGTTGCTACTGGTTCAGGTTTTGTACTTCATTATCAGTCATTTTTTACTTGATCTCGGGTTTTTGCATATTTTATTGTTGTCCCGTTTTAATCATTTCAGGACGAGCTTAGGCAACTATGCTTATATGCTGTTTTGTTCCTTCCATTAAAGAGCATGGTGTACAGAGATAACGAGAAGAAAGTAGCCTTCAGATTTCTGACCCATCCCCCCTCCCACACCCAAAAAAAGAGAAGTATAAAAAACACACTTTTGCACAACCCAGTCATAGCATCTAATTTTTTATATTTTATGTATTTATATTTATTTATTTATTTTTATTTGGAGGTCCTAGATTATCCACCAATTGAAAGGTCCTCCGGTACTCCAAGAAAAGCAGTACATGAGGGGTATCAAGAACAAGTTTTTTGCAAGAACCAGCTTAGTTCACTAAACAGCCCTTTAAATGTACTGTATCAGTTACAAACTCTAACAATTATAATTTTCAATAGAAGAACCACTCGAAAATTTTCTACTTTAAATAGTCTAACAAATATGTATACAATTCTTTTATATATTTTATATTTAATCCATTTTACATTACTTTAACCTCTAAGATTGCATTTCCTTATTACTAATCCTTATAATCACAATCATTTTAAAATAAAGCTCTTCGAAATTATTTAGGTACTCAATAAACCATATTATGTTTTGAAATAATATCTAAAACAATAGTATATTTTTTTAAAAATCATTAAATTCTAACAAATTCTAGATAACTTCACTTATATCAATTGTTTTTCCATACATATATCTCTATAGAAACTTTATCACTATTCCTTGTTAGTACTTACAAATTCTTGTATCCTTGCTATTACAATACCCTAATACAACCACGAATATTACAATCGAATTTTACTTATCTTACAAGCTTTATCACTACCCCTTCTAACAACTTTTAAATTAAAACGCCTCTATAATCTTAACCTAAACAAAATCACGAAGACCTCAAAAAAGGAACAATTTCACGAATCATACTTATCTTTCCGTCGAGGGAGCACGCGCAACGCGCGTGCTCCAACGACTAGTGCATTATAAGTATTCAAAATATGAACATATGCATTGGTTCATTTTTTAATGCGTATGAACGTAATTAAGCATTTCAGAAGGTGAACATATACATAAAAAATATGAACATATTGATTTAGAAAGTGAATATATGCATTTCAGAAAGTTTACAAAAGGATTCAACATATGAACATAAGAATTCAAAATATGAACATATGCATTTCAAAATGTGAACATAAGGTATCCGTTTGATTTCACTAATTTTTTTGACAATTCCAATAAAAAATTTCGAACAATAGTGTATCGAACAATATTCAAGCAAAATTAAGTGATAATCATATAAATTCAAACAAAATTAAGTGAAATTTACATAAAATTGCCTTTTTTTAGGGAGGATCATTTTGATTTTGCATCTCTTCTCTATTGTCCATTGATGTTTTTGCAATTTTTTAGTGAGATAAAATGAAATAGAGGAGGGAGTAAGTAAAAAGAGGAGAGAGAATCATCTCGAAGAAGAGTATTGAGTTTGGAAGTGACGTTATATTTATTGGGTGTGGGTGGGTGTATTGCACTTTTCATGTTTTTTAGTTTTAGGGCTTTTCTTAATTGGGTTGTGTATAATTAGGTTGTGTTGTTACACCTATCTAAGGTGCACCCTTGTGCACCTTAGACTAACCGCAATTTTATTAGAACATGTCAGACTCACCTAACTCAAACAAAGCCCAATAGAAAAACAACCCGAACTTCGCCAAATTAAGACACCCCTCCATTTAGTTCCCTCAATTAAAAAGTAACTTAGGTGCTTTCTCCTCAAATTATAAGATCTGATCTAATGTGGTTTAAAATGCTTCGCTCAAATACGATTAGATTTTATAAAACTTACAAAATTTGATCTTCTATTACTATATGATCCAAAGCAAGTTAAAGACAACAATCTATTAATCATCATATTCCCTTACGCTTCAACTTCTAAGAGACTAAGAGTCCAAACCAAACAAGAAGCATAGTAATCTTTCAACTGGCACAAAAGAGAACATTAGATAAGATGATTAAAGTCACAAGACATTATAGCGCCTTAGATTTGAACGATCAAGGGGAAAAAGAAGCCCATAAAATCACACACCACTCCACATTGAAATTTGAAAACACAATACAAATACAATATGGAGTAGAATTTTAGATATTCAGACACAACTAAAAGGCTAATAAGTATATAACTATGTAACACTATGAATTGAGTCTAGTCACAGATGGCTTTCTCAGATCAATAGACATGACAATTAGGAGCATCGCTTCAACGTACATCTTCAATTTCGGCAGCAAATTCCCCTCTTGGAGGATGAGAAACACCCTTGAGGTAGCAAAACTGACAACCGTTGGTTTCATTACATTCTGCAATACAACAAGATAGGAGCTTGTGAATGCCCGTTGTAAGCAGAATAGAATGAGCACATGTTTTGGGACTGTTAGTTGTAAACGACATTTCATGGCTTGTAAAAAGTTCCGAGTCAATTACATTTTCACATGCAGAAAAGGAAAAGAAATAAGGCACTCACACCACAGCTAAAATGAATTTTCGGTTATATTACAAAAGAATACGATTAGCAAATTTTCCACAATGTGTAACAGATGCAGTAATGTTTAATCTGGATTATGCTTAATAAATTCTTCTCTTTCCATTCAAAAGAAAAAAATTAGAAGAAAAAAAAAGATAAAGAAGAAGTTCACATACTTTGCAATAGTTGAGCACTAAGCCCCAAAGGTCGGCAGATATTAGCACGATCTTTCTCATACCGAGTGCTGATGAATTCAGCAAAGAATACCTCCACTGGGGCATTAGGATCACCTTTTCTCTTAGCTGCAAAGTTTAGATGGCGGACAGCACCATGCGAAAATATCCCGTGTCCGTGGCCATGAATGTCGACAACTTCATAAATTTTACCCTACAGCAACCGAAAAAAAAAAAAAGGCAACTCAGAAGTCAGAACTCAGAAGATTGCAAAATATAATAAAGCAGAGACCAACAAGTGGGGCACAAACCCCTGATGAGCGATGGAGTCTCAAGGCTCGGTTGGCAAAAACACGCATACGTTTCAAATGGGCCTCTATAATTTCCTTCTTTGCTAATTCCACGTCTAATGATTCAGATGACCTAGCACAAACCAGGAGGGTAGGATTATTACAGTAGAATTAGCAACAAATGGAAACAATTAATCCTACTTCAGTGTATTCAAAGGAAGCAACATCAGAAAACTACTTAACTTAGTAACAGAATACTGAAGAAGTAGGACAGTGAAGAAAAGTAGCGAGCATACCCAGGCTTGCGATCTCGAACAAGTATATACTTCATAACTTTATATTCACCATGGAGTCCGTTAGTAAGCTTGGGTTCTTACGTGGCCGGGAAACATTGCTAGCTCTGTCCCATGGAAGAAAAGCATTAGTTGAAGATATAAGATAAAGTATACCTGAATATGAAAATAAAGAACATAACAAAACCATCTTTTGAGCATATCTTGGTACAATGGGTGCAGTTAATATGCACCACATTTGCTCAAAGTACTCATAACCCTAGAGCTGGGTCAACTTCATATCCTTACTTAAAGTCCCTCTAAACTCCTCCGTGTTATGGATGCATGACCCCACAGCACCAATGCTACTAGCCATACACCTTGTGGCACCCACGTGCACATCGATGTTGAGTGCCCCAAGGCTCTAGCTCCCATCCCGGCCCTCCCAACGCTGCCTACAATGTGTCACCTTCACAACTCTGCCTACAATACGCCACGCTCACAATGCTGCCTACAATATGTCACACTCATAATGCTGCCTACAATCTGTCACCCTCACAATGCTGCCTACAATCAGTCACGGCCGAAGCCTCCTACCTCAGACCCTCAGTAACTCCTAACCCCTAAGCACATGTACAATTGTGAAAAACATGATCAAACAACAAAACCACCCTAAAAACTTTCAGAATACAATCTCACGAGTCACAACCTCGCACACATATTTAGCATACTTACATCCCCAAATTAATTACAAATTGAATATCACTGCTAAATTATACTCAATCCCTATAAAAATCTTCCTTAACCTAGAACGAGTCAACAAAAAGAAAAGAAAAATGATAATAATAACAATAATAAATACTCATAGCTCAAATTTGAGTGATAATTCTGCTCTAATAGTGAATTCGAGCAACCAATTCATTCACATAACGCACCATGATTGAATAATTATCCAACAAAACATCAATTAAAATTAAAGTTATGAACACACACCACAATTGAATAATTACTCTTCAAAAAAATTATGATCGAATTCGTCAATGAATGAAAGCAAGCAATGGAATTAACAAAATCAAACTTCAAAACCTAATACATATATACATAAAATTCAAACAAATTTGAGAAAGAAATCAAATTATTGTGAATTAAAGAAAGAAATTACGTAGTTTTTGTCTGAGATTTCCATGAAAATTTTGGGCGCAGATCATAACGAAGATGCCCTCCCCTCGATCGCGTCTCCATCTTTCGCGTTCTCTTCAGCAAAACCTTTCTGTCTCTCGCTTCTTTTTCCTTTTCTTTTTCTTGTGCTTCTTTCGTTTTGTTATGCCAAAAGACCTTGTTTTGATTTTTCGAGTACTTATTTAAAATTTATTCGGAAAATTTTCTTTAATAAGATCCAATTTTCTCTTTTTTTTTTCTTTGGTATAATCGAAAATAAATCTTTATCTTTAATAACTTTGTTTTTTTACTACCAAATATAAAAACTACTAGATAAAGCCCGTACATTGCACGGATCGATATATTTTTTTTTTAAAAATATTTTTCATATGTATGTGATTACATTTGTTATTTTATTAGTTGTACGTAATATATCATTTTCTCCGTATTTGTTTTATAATATTAGATAAAATTTCTAATCTCAAAAAATAATATTTCGTATTTAATTAATGTAACCATTAAAATCTCATTGGTCAATTATGCTTTTGTGGCACTTGAATTATTTATTGGATATAATTATAATTTATAATCCTACGTCGCACGTTAACTAATCTTAGGTGACATAATCCTATTGTAATGTTTTAAAAATATTAATCCAATGTGGCGCTCTAACAATTTTTTAAAAATAAAAATCATACGTGGCGCTCTAAAATCTCGGGAAAAACCCCCCTTTACATATATATATTAGATTAGATTTTTACAAAAATCCTTAACCATAGTTGATTTTTAATTTTTATAAAAATTAAATTGTTAAAAATAAGTATTAAAAAGAACCCCAAACCCATCCCCTACCCCCAACCACCACCGGCCCACCCCCTCCCTTTGCTGGCACCCAGCCTCCCCTAAGCCGACAGGCAGCGCCAAACACCCTTAGGGCATGTTCACTTCAGCTTAATATTCTTCTCTCATAAAATATTCAATTCAGTTCAGCTTCAATCAGTTGAGTTCATTAAATGTGAACGGATCCTTACACCCACTGGCGACCCTAAACCCCAATTGCCCTCTTCCTTCTCTTTCTCTTTCCACCGCCACCATTACCCTTTTGACCTTCACCAATCTCCTCCTTCTTTCTACCATTGGGGTCGGTTTGGGTCTTAAAGGTCCAAACCAGGCTTGGAATTGGACCAAAAAAATAAAATAAAGTGGCTCGGTTTGCATGTTAAATAATTAATGTCGATTTTAACACACAAAATGAGACATTTACGTTTTGTTTGCAAATTATGAGCTCGATTTGGACCCATAAGAACCAAACCAGCCCTTAAAACCATATCTGGGCAATTTTCGCATAAAAAAAAAAGTATCATGACAACGCAAATCAATATATTTTATGACACGCAAAACGAGCCGCTTACTTCCTTTTTTTTTTTTGCCAATTTCGAGCTCAATTTGGACCCTTAAAAACTAAAATGACCCCCCAAAACTTTAACAAAATCATTTTCAACACCCAAAACTGGAAAACAAAATAAAAAGTGGCTAACCTCTAACGGGTCTTTTAAGTTTTGATGGTACCTAAAGTCAAAATTTCCTAAAATTTATCTTAATTATAAATTAATTTTTAGTGCATCAAAAGTCAAAATAATTAAGGTGTTTTTATTGGAAATATTCATCATAAATATGCTTACTCCCTCCGTCTCTTAAAGATGGCTAGGTCAAATTCTTAAATTTTTAAACATTAATCCCATTAATATATATGTTAAAACCTAATCAATTGAGATATTGTTTTATTCGTTATAATGTATAGATTGCAAATACGGAGTATGCTATTTTCATAATTTTTATTAACACGAAATTAAAAATATGTATAGTCAAATATGCATCTTTATTCTTTAAACACATTCAACCTCTTTTTTTTTGTAGGATACATACACTTTAGAGCATGCACACTTTTTTTACACGTCACTCTCTAGAAGTTATGTCGTTGTTTTTTGCTAAAAAAACTTCTTTTATCTAATACATTGTATAAAATATTTTTTGGACATAACAACTAATATATGAAATCTTTTAGACCTCTTAGAACTTAGAAGACATCAGTAAAGAAACATAGAGAAGCTGGTTCCATGAGTCAGGAACACCAGGGAGGCACCAATGGCTACAATCTTGAGTCATCCCGGGCCGTCTCTCAGTCTCCGGTAGCCGGTATATCGACGGGTGCCCATCCTTTCTGTAATCAGTCATCTTAGTAATGTTAAGATACACAACAGGTGTTTTCATCTTAGAGATCACTGATTCAAGAGTCTTCATCATCCAAGGATATGCTGCTAAGTACTTGTCATCAGTTATTGGTTCTGTTTCTCCATCACATTTTCCTCCTGAATTCCACTGCCCTTTTCTGCACAAAATCATTAACAGAAATTAACCCATTTTACATCAAAGATTGACTAATTAAGGGGTTAAATTGTTGGATTAATCACCTAAAATGAGAAGCTGAATAACCAGCAAAAAAGACTTGTGTTTTGTTCTTGTTTACATTTTTGTCAACCCATTTTGCCCATGTTTTTAAGGCTTTTGTGTATGCTACTGTTACATTTAACTCAGGATGCACAATTTCATCCTCCTGAAAGAAATTCTTCCTACAAAAAATCAATCATACACATTGTTTAAGTACTAGAAAGCCGAAAATAAGCAAATTCATTAACTTTAATTCAGATTCTTAAGTACCCTTTTCGAGTTTTGTTGTGAGTCCACCAATGTCCAGTATTAAAAATGAGGTAATCAGCATCATGGTAACCGGAGGTTGTAGCTTGAATCACATCAAGTCTTAGCAGTTCTCGCCTCGCCTTGAAACCTTTCACACTAGGCAGTTTCCATTCTTGTACTAAGAATGGTGATCTGATGAACTCTATGGTACAATTATAATCCTAAAATTCAAAACAAAAACATAGCTTAATTATCATAATTAACGTAACTAGAGCATGACGCGCATCATGCTCCCGAGTGTAAAATTTAATCGGTTTTAAATTACTACCTTGAATTTGAAAGAGTAGAATCCTTCACTTCTGAACTGTCTTTTGCCAGAAACTTCGAACACTGTCTTCTTATCAACTAAAGACATTCTTAAAGAACATACTAAAGATTCCCACATATTTCTGTTAAGTGAATCTCCAACAAACACCATTCTTTTTCCTCTTAACATTTCTAACATCTTCTTCCCATTAAACCTATGAAATTCCAAGAATTATTATATAAAAAACAAAAATAATAAAAAAAATCAATTTTTTTTAAAAAAATCAAGAATTAAAATTTGAAATGTAGATTTTAGTTAAAGAGAAAATTAAAAGCAGAGTACCTAGGGATGTCACACCCATGAGGCTGCCATCGGTAGCGTAAATAACCGAGATCGGAGCGGCCATTGTTGAAGCAATTGAAGGTATAATCAAGAAACGGGCAAGACCCAGGTGAGTAAACCGGGCCAGAATCATCCAAAACCCATTTCCCATCAAAAATATCACAAGAAATTCCCTTCTTTCTTACAAAATCATCTTCTTTTTTCCTTAAAATGCTCAAAGAAGTGATTTTCTTAGCAAAGTATGATCCAATTTCATCTGGGTTCGGAGACCCGGAACTCGGCTCGTCTTCGATTGCGGCACTTCGAGGGATGGAGGAGAGAGAAGAGATGTAATTGGAAGCAAAGCGAAGGTGCGAAGTTGCAGATGGTACTGTTGAAGAGGTAGTCTCTGTTATGGGTGTTAAAGAGAAATTAAGTAAGATGAAGATAGAGAAAACGAGAAGAAAAGTTGTGAAGATTAATTGGATTCTTCTTCTTTGAAGAATTTGGGTGATTAGGAGTTTCTTTAATGGCGCCATTTTTGCAGAGAGATTGGAGAGAGAAAGAGGAAGATGATGTATTTGTTGTTACTCTGTTTTTGTGAGTTTGATTTTAATGATCAAATAAATTGGAGGGAAATTATATGAATAAATACAGAGTAATTCAGTACTTCGTACTCCGTATAACAATATCAATAGGTCACATTTTATAAAGTGTCACATATTAGTATTTCTCATTAAATTCAATTTATAATTTTATACATATCTTTTCCAATGTCCCAAGGCAATTCATTGACCTCTTTGCATTGTATAGTATAAAAATTATCGGAGAGTTTAAATTAAACTATCCAATATAAAAAGTAGTTAGTCGTACATGAAATACTTATTTTTCTTATGAATAACAAAAATTAAATTAAAGTGTGTTATCCCGCCAAGATTGTCCAATGTTCATATATACGATCAATATGGAATAATTGGTTTTTGACTTTGAGTCATTTATAAAAACTTCGTATTGTTGTTCAAAAATAAAAATAGGGTTTTTTTTATATAGAAACCCTGTTTTTTTTTCACTTTTTTACGCTGTGTCCTAACATATATTACTTTCTACGCTGTAACCCCAATATATTTTTTGTTTCCATACGGTAAACTTGCTGTTATCCTGCTGTTAAAAAATTCCGTTAGTGGGGCCCATTCTCCATTATTAGTATTTTTTATCGATTTGCGCGTTGAAAAATACTCCGTCAAAGGTTTCAGGGGCTATTTTGGTCCTTAAGATACCAAATTGAGCTCAAATTTGGCAAAAAAATAACATAAATGCCTCGTTTTTGCTTATTAAGAAATGTCTCGATTTACGTGTTCACATTTTAACAACGTAAGGTTGATAAATGCCTCGTGAGGGTTTGTGAAAACATGAAGTCGAATAATCGGATGGAAACCTCTATTATAAGGTTGATTTCTTTATATCCTTCTAGCTACTGTGTGGGCAAAACTCATGATAAAGAAGTCTTATCTTGTGTGGTGTCATAACTTGTAAGTGGTGGGATTGATTAAAGGCGAGGAAGTACTTGAACCTTAACATTGTGATTTTGTAGACTTACTCTTGTCTTTTGATGTTGTAACTAGCACATCTGCACATGTTCTAACAAGGCTCTTTAAGTCGATCCTCGAGCAAATAGATAAAATCTCGTAAACAGGTTTTAAGGTATTAGAAGAACATTCTGACCAAATCGAGCTTCAAGGGTCAATCTATATACAACAAAACTTCAGCTAAAAAAGATAAAACCACACTCATTATTTTAGTGTAAACCGGGTTAAAAAAGATAAAACCCCGCTTATTATTTTAGTAGTGTAAACCGGACTTATACAAAAAGTTACGGACAGTTGGACTAAGGCTTTATTCTCCACTCTGTAAATGTCGACATAACGAGTAGTACTTGTGAAAAATCTTAATTGAACTCCGTTTTCTGGTCTTCTTTCTTCACCACTCCAACTTAACCTAACAATCATTTTCTCTCTCCAAATCACCAATTCTCAATTCATCGTATTCATATATGAATTGAATTGAAGTGCGATTAATCAATTACTTTCCTAATTTGATTTTTCAATCGTTGATCGCCGGAATTTCATCGGAATTCGATCACATCACCGATTAATCTCGCCGGAAATCATGAATCGTCGTCAATTATCGACGCCGGCAAAGCCGATTAATATGAACACGCTTACAAGAAAAATTGATGTCGATAATCGGCTTTCTTTGGGGTATTATTATCGAATTGCTGATACTCTTCTCAAACAGGTTAGGTTTCTTTAATTTTTTGTTTAAAATACATTGTTCAAATTCTAAATTTATTAGAGAATATTCAATTTTACCATTCGATTGAGCTAAATTTAGGTTTTTTTTAGCATATAGTTCGATTTTGCTGCTGTGTTGCCCTAGAATTGCAGGTTTATATTCATATCATTCTTAAATCTAAATGTTGTAACAATCGTAAGTTTGAATTAAACTTCGATAAGAGGGGAGTTCATTTACTTTGATTGCGTGCCAAGAGGGTATGTTGCGAATTTGCGTTGATAGAATTTAGGTACTATGATTAAGGTTTAGCATTGATGTAGGGAAAGGTACCAAATTTAGGCGGGGTTTTGGTGCTTAGATGAATGATTCTATAACTACATTTTGAATTTGGTTTCCTGTAGTTCTATGTTTTGGGGTGAGATGTTGGAATGGGAGAACTTATGCTTTGGTTGGGTGGCGAATTGCATTAATGTGTATGTGTGACTGCCTGTATCCACATTAAGTTTGTGGGTGGACTCACTGGACTATGAATGTCTACTGAACCATCACGACTACTCGGGTTATGAGAGAGGATGAATAGATGGGAATTTGTTACAAGTGCACTTACAAGCTAAGGGATATTGTTATCTTCTTTCAGATTCTTGGAACATTCATCTAGGATGGAATGGAATTTTGAATGTAGCTATAGGCTCGACTTGTCATACTGAATGTCTAATGTCACTATGCATGGGTCTCGCTAGAGCTATGTCTTTCTTATGTGGGGTAGAGAACAAGGTGAACCCCTCTTCCCCAATTATCCTCCCACACATTTACACACGGATGATATTTCATAGTTTGATGTGGAAGAGTTATATTGATCGCTTGTATTGATATGTCTGAGGTTAGAGTAGAATAGAGTTAATCTAACCACTAGCGTAGGGACTTTGTTTCAAAAATTGAAAACTAGTGTGGGGACATAGCATGCATAAAATATACGAAGTATTTCAGTCTCTAAAGATATTTACATTTGAGCAAACTCATGTTTAGCTGATTGCTAATAATTGCCACGTATTAAACTCAAAGCCCATTTGTGCACATATCTGCGCGTGATATTTCGTCACGTCTCCTTTTAAGTTGGTCTGTTTAAAATGACACATGTTCTACTAAAAATTGCACTGTGGACCTGTGGTGCATCTATGTTGAAGTATTGAGTGTATGATGTGGGTACTTAAGATACAATGAAGAGTTGTGGTAACATGGATTTGCGCATATGCTATAGTTATCCCTGTAGTGCAGTGGTGCTCGTGGAGTATGTTTTACGGCCTGACTGGAAGCTATCCCTTTTTTTTAGTGGACGCTATTTATAGCACTCCTTGTTTTCTTTTCTTGTACCAACTAATTCATGTCAATCAAAATTTTCTATCCTGGAAGAAAGAAAAAGGGTAGCTATGTTGCTAGGTTGCTTGTATAAAGACCAATGCTCTTGCAGACCTGCTTCTGCTACCAGCAGTATTGAACTTTATTTGTCTTCTTCAAGTAATGACATGATATTCTTGCTTTTTTCAGGCAGATGTGTATCGAGAAGAAAATAATATAGTGGACTTGTATGTTATGCTCGTTAGGTTTTCAAGGTAAGTATTATCATATATGCCTGTCAGTATCATGATGCTGTATTGAAAAATACATGTAAATCTATAGCTCATTCATTGTTTTCTTAGTTTGGTGTCTGAAACAATACCCTTCCATCGGGATTACCAGGCTTTACATTCTAGAGAAAGAGTACATTACAGAAAGGTAAGCTGTATCAGGATTTTTCCACTTTATCAGTCTCAACTGTTGTATGTGATTATCCTTGTTGACAAGTGTTATTTTCCTGCTGCTTTTTATTGTAGAAATTGCTGGCAGTTATTAATGAGCTGGAATCATTGAAGCCTGAGTTTCAGCGTCGAGTAAATGAACTTAACAAGGCTTATACAGAAACACAACTAAAACAATTTGATGGCAGAGAGAAGACCACATATGGTTTGGAAGCATCTTTGACACGGCCCTCTGCTTATGCTCCTAGTTTTGAGAGCAAACAGGTATCTGTTTAAATGATTTCTTATTCAGTATGAGATTAAACTAAATTGTTCACACCACTTTACTCCTGGTCTTTGAAAGTTCTACATATTTGAAACTATATCTTCTCTTTTTATTTTATGCTGAATTTCTTGACGCATGTTGAATCCTTTTACTTTTGCTAAGTGGTCAGCTTTTCACCAGACTTCCATTTGTTCTATTTACTGTCCCTGTGTCATTTTACTTGAATGTATTGGTTGCCTTTCATGTTCTCTTAAATTACTGGTTTACTTGGTTTCTATTAAGATCATTGACAAGGGGTGAAGTGAGAAAATAAAAGAAGTGAATGCTTTAATAGAAACGCAAATGCAACTTCCTAAAAGCTGGTATCTCTAGTTGTGAGGCCCTCAACAGCCATTTAAGCATGAAGATTGTCATGGTTTTGTATAACTGATCTCTTAACCTTAGTTCTTGTGTTTCTTCCGGTGTTTGTTTTACTTTATTAAAAGGGCAGCATATTTTTTTTTCAATATTATTTAATGTCCTTGCCTCTCAGGGTTGTTAGAAGCTTAGAACTTATGGTTTGCTTTTAACGCAGCTACAACCAGATAGCAAAACAATTCAGTCTTCATGGAAACAGAACAATGATTTCCTAGCTGCTTCAACTTCGATGCCTTTTGAAAAAAGCTTCTCTAAGCTGTAAGAATACACCTTTTTTTTTTCTTTTTTTTTTTTTTTTTTTTAAGTCTGTCCTTTCTTTAGTTCAACTAATTGCACTCTTGTTCTTAATCTAACATATTCGCTTTAGTGTGTTGCACAACCAAGTCTACAGTTAAACAATAAGAATCCTCTGCATATAAATGGTATTCCCTCATCCCAAATAAACTTCCACATTTGTATCAGACTATCCCCGAAAAAAAACGTCCACTTTCCTTTTCTATTTTGTCAAGTGTAAGGTCAAGCTCTTTATGTAAAAGTATTCAAACCTGCAGCACCTGTTGAGATTGTTAAGGAAACATTTATTAAGTCAAATATGATACTCTATTTAAAGGTATTCAAGTAGCAAACATTCTTGTTGCATCATCAAAGAGGAAGTATAGTTTTGAACGAAGATAGCAGTATGTTATAGGCATTATCTTAATATGTGATTTTACAAGTTTTATTTACTTATATCACATTTCGTGGGAACATCCTTGGGTTTCACAATTACCACCCTGAGCTCCCTCATTGTTGATTGTTTAGGAAAAGGGAACAATTTTTGGTTTCTACGTATAACTGCAAGCAACAGTTGCTGCTGGTTTTTTCCTTTATTGCATTTTATTATTGCCTAACACTTGTTTAATATCCTGTCAGTTTTTACATATAATTTCCTTACTACTATGTCTGTTTGTATTCCCTATTCTTCTTTATGTTGACCTATATCTGTTATGACTATTAACAGGTCTCTAGCGGTGCCACTTCCAAATCAAGAAACATTGTCAAGGCACTCCTTTTTAGGTCCAACTGGACTTCGTCGTCAATGGCAAGGACCTAGTACGGAGATTAAGGTGCTCAATCTCTAGAGTGTTTTCCTTGATAAATTTGTTTCTATATATATATATATATATTTTCTCATTTGTCTTCTTTCTGTTCAGGTGTCTTACCCTAGCCATGCTGACTTAACTCCAGCTGAAAATTTATGGTTAGAACTTTGGCAACTTTGTTATGAAATTGTCTTATACCTCAAATTTATATTTGCTTTAAAAAAAACGGAATGTGCCTTTTAGGTCAGATGAGTATTGAAACATAAGGGGTGTCATCTTTTCCTTTCCCCAAAACATTTTCTGCTTCCAACTATTTATATCCCATGTGGTTGACAGCCTTATTCAAGATACACAAAATGAAACTCAAGTTCAGAAGGATGATAGGTTAGGACAAGATATGGAAGCAGTCCTGTCTTTAGACAATGGTAGCTGGTCACCCTGTGAAGAGGACTTGTCTGTGGGAATCATAAGGCAGCCAGTTCCTCCCCCTGTACTCGCTCAAGTTCATCCAGATTACCATCCTATCTCTCCATCAAGAGTGGCTGATCCAAGACCTGGACCAGCTAAGCCTTCAGAGAATGGGACACAGAATCCTAATTCATATCAACATCTGCATATTGTAGGTTTCAATTACTCAATTTTTTGGAGATTATTTTTAGATTCTGCTGCGATTCTTTCTGTTTCAGGACTTCATTTTATTATTTATTGCAGCCTGTGAGAATGATGGAAGATTTCTTGAGGCTGGCACAACAAAATACGACAAAAAATCTTGAAACATGTGGAGTTCTAGCTGGTTCTCTGGTATGTTTTTCTCAATTTCTTCATGTGTTCCTTTTGCTGGAGACTATATTTTTAATGTTTATCTCAAGTGCTTCAACTTTCTTCTGGATGCAGAAAAAACCGAGTGTTTCACATTACTACTTTAATTGTTCCGAAGCAAGAGTCAACTTCTGATTCAGTAAGTTGTTGCTTGCTTTCCAATAGACCCTTGGTGTTTGGATTAGTTTGTTTTCATTGTTGTGTTCAGCTATATGTTTGATACTTTGATCTTCGAATTATAAAGAACCTTGTGAACAGATATAACTTATATTGTAGATGATAGGATCTGCTAAATGTGGCCTCCAATCATGTAGCATTCTCTAACATTTGTGAGTTCAGCATGATGGCCAGCAGAAAGGATACCTTAAATTGGAAGTACTTGTTAATTATAGCACATAAATGGAGGAGATGACATCTATTATACATATGCGTATTTAATATGAAATATTAAATTGTGATCAGACTTCGTTTGACATTTTGACGTGCTTCAGATTGAAAATTCAGCTTAACTTCAATACTTGTTAACATAATACCTATGTTTTCATTTTTCTGCATATTGAGGTCTTTAATATGTGCAGTTTTGGACTATCTGAGAACACTTTTAAGAAATTTATTGACCTAATGACCTTTGTTTTATCAACCGTATGTGTGCTTGCTTTCCCTGTGTCTTTCTTCTTTTTTTTTTTTTTTTTAATGGGGGTGCATATGGATGACTACACAGAATAATCACTTTTGATTCATGTAGCCTACCCCACTTATGGGGTTAAGGTTTTGATTGATTGATTGATTTTTGGATGCATATGCTTACATATAGGCAAGTATATGATGTATATCATTACAAGGACTTGCTCTTTTAGCTTTGTTTGAACTCCAATAAAAGACGTGGATTAATCCCTATTTATGACTCGGCTTCAGCTATAGTGCTATACAAAATAATTCATTAAAGAGAGGGTCAGATGATATGGTAGCTCTTCCTACTTTGATGTTGTATCACTTCTACTACTTATGGTGAGCTGAACAAATTTGTATTTACCTTTTACAGTGCCAGACATTAAATGAGGAAGAAATATTTGAGGTTCAGGACAAAGCATCACTATTTCCTCTTGGATGGATTCATGTGAGCTTCTAATCCTGATAGTAATGGTTTTTACTTTATGCATTTGCCTTTTTTCTTCCCGCCAATCTCATTGTATCATCTGCTTGTCTAGCTGGCTATGAGCTATAAGAAACTTTATTATTCAAGCACTATGCTTTGCATGAGTGTTGAATTTCCTGCATCTTGAATATGCAATTTCCCTAAAAATTTGCCTTTTTTTTTTTTAATTTTTTAATTTTGTTTTATTTATATATATATATATATATAATTATTAAGCTATAGTAACATCCTCTACTGATGTTCTAGTACTAATACTCTTATTTTCTTCATACTGACAGACGCACCCGACACAGACATGTTTTATGTCCTCAGTTGACCTGCATACTCATTACTCATATCAGGTAAAAGAAATGGCTTCTTGAGTTCTTTTTTTTAAAAGAAAAAAAACAATTATCATGCTACAAACGTATAGACTCTACATGCCTTGATGTATCATTCTACTGCTGTATTAGCAAGACCTATTCCTATGGCACATTGGCACGCAATTTAAAGTAGGGATTAGATAAGGTAAATGACTAAATTGTTTAATACTCAATATAAAAAAGAAAAAAGAAAAAAAAAAACCACCAATTAGGGCAATGAATTTGGGCATATTTATCTACAATATGTTTATCATCTTTAATCACTTTATCAAACTGCCTAGGGGCTATATAGGTCAAGACAAAGGAAGTAGTTCTTTTCCAGGATTGTATTTGAGATGCCATGGTCACATTTGTTAGAGGTGCTTTTCTGCTTTGCTAATGTCGATACCTTGCTCGGCTAATCATTCTTTAAATTGCTTGTCAGATTATGTTGCCGGAAGCAGTTGCTATCGTTATGGCACCTACAGATTCATCCAGGTATATTCCATCTTACTTTGCATAACTGTTGCTGAATGCTAAACTGGCCCGATAATCATGGACTCAAAAAAGCTTAAGAAAACAGAGAAACTTATCATGATAAAAACAATCCTTTAGCTCATTTCGAAATGAAGATGCAAGTTATATTTTTTGTTTGGTATTATCTGTAACCTGTTGGGCCCTGCAATGCTGTAATATTGCTCTGTTCTGGGCTTATAACTCTCATGAACATTTACTCCGTCCATCTGGAATTTATTGCCCTCTGTCCCAACTATTGTTATCTTCTTCTATGCTCCCCTTCTACTCTCCAGCTCTACATTTAAGTGGGGGAGTGTTTTAAATATAATCATAATACATTTCTGATTAAGGAAAAGGAATTTATCTCTCAATAGTATACTTAATTATTTTATACCTGATGGAGGGAATATTTTATAGTCACTCACCTGGATTCTTGGTTTAATTTGTGACATAATTAGAGGGCATGGCAGGGATGATAGACTCTGGTCATGGTATATGAAGATGAAAATAGAAAGGGTGGAGAAGGAGATTGGAGTATCGGACACCAATGTTGTCTCATGAAACAATAGAAATTAGTTATATATTTCCATATTGCCTGTTCTTGTCTTTAGACAAGTATAGATTTATTATGAATGTGTTTTTACCTTTCCTTATCCTTTCATTGTCATCTAGGGACATAAAATACACTAGAAAAAGAAACATTACTTCAAAGATGGCTGCTTAACATTCTTGGGAAAGGGAACTTGAGTTTAATATTATAAAATCCTGTTTAATAGCACGAAATGCAGATGATTGATAAAATCTTTGGATAACTTAGAGTGAAGGGTTTATCCACTAGATATACTATCCTTGATGATTGGTTGACATTTTATAAAGGCTATATACGGAGTGCTTTTTATAAATAATGAAAAACTTTCATTGTTCTGGAATTGCATGGTTCCTTGTCTGTTAGAGAATTCCAAAGATCTATGTTATCATGGATTCTTTGTGGTGTCAATACACTACATTTAGGATTTGAAACCTTGGTCCAGCTTATTTCAAAAAAAAAAAAAAAAACTTGGTCCAGCTTGTTGATCTTGTCTTCATCAGAGGTGCGAGGTATTTTGTTTGAAAGAACTCATAAAGAGGCTACTTTTAGAGAGCATTTAGTGCCAATTAAAGAGCATGAAATTTAGTGTTAATGAAGACTTTATTTAACTTTTTTTTTAAGTGAATCTATGATAGTATTATACATTTAAGCTCCATTCTATTCAACTGAATGGGGGCCTTAGTAACATTTTAGATGAGCATATCCTGCGTACTGACTTCACTTGTTTGTGTAATTGCAGTCCGCATGGTATATTTCACTTGTCTGATCCTGGTGGTGTTTCTGTGATTCGAAATTGTGATCAGCGTGGATTTCATCCTCATGAGGAACCATCAGATGGTAGCCCACTATATGAACACTGCTCACACGTTTATTTGAACCCAAAGTTGAGGTTTGATGTGATTGATCTTCGATAAATGTCCTACAGAGTTCTTTTGTATTTAGAAAATTAATTTTCAGATCAAAGCAAATAACATTATCATTTGTACAGCTATAATTGATCATATCTGTAAATGTTTTTGTTATTGGGGAAATATCTGGTGAATTTGTTCATCTGCTGCTGTGTTTTGATAAACCATACCTGACTGCACGATACCTTGATAAAATACTCAAAAGTTTGCTGTTTTGTGTTTTAATCTCTATCAAGCACATAACATTGTCATTAATTGGAAGTAATTGTTACTTCTGCTTTTGCTCCTTGTAATAATAATTTAATTTTTGTTGGTCTATTCTCTTTCTAATAATAAGTAACCCTATTTACACATTGAACAAACATGGAAGTGGATTTTGGGATAGCTCAAGTGGTATGATTCCCTCCCGTTTCGAAGAGATTTTGGGATTGATTTTCTATCACATCCTTGTAGCTCTCTAAACGCCAAAAAATGATGGATTTTTTTTTTAATTCACCAAGTTATATACTTCTTCCAGTTTGCAAAAACAATCATTAATCAAGGATGAAACCCACTAAATAGGTGGTATTACAAAAGAATTGTACTTGATTGTAAATTACATTTTACACGCCAAATTATTATTGTAAAGATAAGACATCAGAAACTATCTCCCCAACCAAAGAATCTAAGATCTGGTCTTCAATGTCTACTCCAACCATAAATTCATCAACTTCAAAATCTAGCCATCTCCCATATTTACTGCTCATATCTTTGTTGACGAGCTCATCCACCATACTATTTCCCAGGTTTCTCCAACCCTGGATCTCCTTGTACACTTCTTCAGCCAGTCTTTCCTTTCTCTTCAATGTTGCAATGCCTTTTTTCCACATTTCTAACCCACCACCCACGAAACGCTGACACTTCAAATCTAAACATTCACTGACACAATCAAACAACATTTTCCTCTCTAGTTTAAACTCATCCTTTCCACCTCCTTGTCGTCTTTCCATCTGATCAAACAGGTGTGGATTTACTATCTCACGTGTTCGACCTGCTACATAATCCTTAAACATCAACTCCACATTGCAGAGTATGTCTTTTACATATCCTAATTCCCATGCTGTTGATTTCATGGAGTACTTTTCTGAAGTAATTTGAGAAGATGTTGATGAAGCTGAATCTGATACCTCTGCATCAGCTTCCCTACTAGCTTGTGACTTTTGTAAAGAATCCGGACCAAATTCTTGCTGAGCCTGAACTGATGAACATTGTTGTTTGCTCTCTGAAATATAACCATGGAATGCTCAGTATTAATACACTAAGATTACAAGTATAGATTACAAACTAAGATTACAAGTACTAATTATAAAACATGCATGTATTGGAAGTGGTGAATGATTTTGATATTGTTCTAACCTTCCGTGATGCTACTTGCCATGCTTTCTGAAGAACAGCAACTTTCTGTCAAAATAGAAGGTTCCAGAATGGAAACAGGACTAGGTGAGTGACAATCATTCCATTTTTTAGCTTCAACTTTGTCGTGGCTGTATTTTTCCATTGCTTCCCCTGCCTGATGAAAACAAAAAAAAAAAAAGAGCCTATCTTGTCAATAGAATAGAGCTGAAATCAGTACACCGTTGCTTCCTAACTTTTTAGGGCATAAAACTAGGGGGAGATTTTGAATGCAAAAAAGTTGGTCTCTATAAAATTAATGGAAATCAAAATAAAATATGCATGAAATTCTGTACCTGAAAACTGAATTTCCTTGTGAACTGTTCAGCTTCATAGTCAAACAATCCAGGATAGATATGGCTATCTGTGTCTAGTGGCTCTTGTTGAGACATTTTTTCTCGGGCCTTCCCTGTGGCACTCTCTGCACTGCCAGGTACCACTGCTGATTCTGCAGCAGTACCAGTTTTGACAATGGTGCTATGGGAATTCTCAAAGTTTGATGTTAGTTCTTTTAGCTTCTGCTCTAGCAATTTACTCAAAGCATCACCCTTTATCCCGTTTAATCCAGGAGAAGATAACCTTGTCAGATCTGAGTTGGTCAGCATTTTGCTTCCATCATCAAAGCAAATGTTGCTGCCTTTTTCAACCAACTGTCTAGAAGGCTCTGAACCAAGCTGTGATCGGGTGATAGGAGCAGTGAATGTAAATGAAACAACATCCATTCCTTTCCTTCGGCTTTCTTCTATCCAATTAAATTGCTTATCAGCCATTACAGTAGATTGGCTTGGTTTTTCAGGAACTTGATTCTTATTGTATTGCAGATTCCCATCTATTGACCTTTTCTTTCTAGGAACATTTCTCACTCCAGCATAAGGAACTCCCTTATCAACAACGTCCCTTGCATGCAAGCTAGATTTCCTCGAACTTGTTCTTGAGGTCCCAGCTTCTCGAGCTAAACTTTTTTGTCGGCTATGAGAAGTATCCTCAGAATATGGCTTTTTACCAATAGTTGTAGTAACAGAAGCCTTAGGAGCAGAAGATCTCTCCCTATGTGGAGGGCAGTTCTGTTTTTGGTTATTTTGTCGTAGTACAGAAGAAGCACTTTGGTTCAAAGATTTCCTATTTGAGAACTTTGGACCACTTGCTTGGTTCCTTGATGACTGACTTGACTTGCTATCATCCTGTTCTTCTGAATCTCCCAAACTCCTACTGTTTGAAGTCAAGCCTTCCCTTTTCTGTACATTAACCTTTGCTTGTATGGCAAGCGAAATTGACTTTCCCTTTTTCTTTACAGCAGCAGAACTATCCTCTCTACTCGGGGATGCCCTAAATGATGACGTCTCATTTAGACCATTCCAACTCCTATTCATAGGCTGTCCTTTTAGATACTTGGCAGCATTGGATTCAACTTGCCTTTGCGTTAATACAGGAGCCCTGGACGGTTTCTGCGCTGCTTCCAGTTTCTCCCTTATTTCTCTAACTTTCAAAGGAACCGAGGATGATCCAGCTGAAGATATCTTAGCTCGGGGAGTTGCTGATGGCCCAGGCTCAATTATTTTTGCAGCAGCTTCCATAATGTGAGCTGCATCTTGGGACGGGACAAAAATAGGGCTCTTGATTGGCGATAAAAGCTTATGATGAGTGATTGGGATTGTTTTGGCTGACTTTGGAGGCAAAGTATCAGTTTGAAACTTCTCAATTGGTCTGTTAGGCAACTTCATAGATCTAGTTTCAAAGTCATTATTCCTAGTTGTAGGCTCCATTTTGTCAAATAGGTGGCTTGAATGCATAACTTGATGATCATGATAAAAGTCGAGATTTCTTCCTCTAAATGGAGCCTCTCCTAGAGAGATAGAGTCAAAGAAGGGGGAAGGATATGACTCCATTCCTATTGACATTGGTAAGGAATCCAATCCCATGAGCCTGGCCACTACCCCAGGAGCTTTTGATCCAAAACCGTCATCATCTGTGACAGATGATGCGCAGCTATAATCACTTCCTCCTCTGGCACTAAATCCTGCACCAAATGCACCATACTCCTCTTCTTCTTCCTGGTATATAATTAATCAAATCATCTTAAATCAATATTATGGCAATTAATTTCAGCAGATATCAGTCATTGAATAAATTCTCACCACACGCTTTCTTGTCATAGGAAAACTCTCCTCTCCTTTCTTTCCTTGCTTCGAGTATTCTGTCCAAAACAACCAAAAGAAAATGAATGATCTGCAGTTCACATTAAAGAATCACAACACAAACACATATATGAATGTAGCTGTAATGTACCTGGTGAATCAGATCTGCTCGAAAACAACTTCTTTCGAGACTTGGCATTCCAGTCAAACAGCTGAAAGAAGCCGCCAACATAACGTCCACTCTTCGACCCATGCTTGTCACCACCCATTTTAGCTATTTACCAATCCAAAACACTTCTTGACATTAAAGATCCAAGCTCAGTTACAAAAACTTTAACAATCAGTGATAGGTGGATGAATCTTCAACCTAATCATATGCAGAATGATGGATATTCCAAACTGCTCAACACAGTTCAATTAATGAGACAAATTGCACTAAAACATAGGTAGTATCATCCATAATAAAACCCTAGTTATAGACTAAGATATCATCTACTCTAACAGCTCAAAACAATTTCACTCAAAACTGTATTTTCTACTCTAACCGCTCCCTCAGTTCAGATTATGAACTCAGTGCACATGTATTGCTAAGATATAGTCATATAGGTAGTATAATCCATAAGTACATTAATTTAAACACCCTAGTATCTTCTACTAAGATAGCATCGAGCTCGAAACGATTTCACTTGGAGCAGTATCTTCTACTCTACTATAGCTCCAAGCTCCCAATATATGACTAACAGCAGTCACAAATAACTTCAGAATTACTCAACCATCCCTAGTAAAGCACATTATAAGAATCTATATTCCAATTAATTTACCCATCATAGAACTTTATACTATACTAATATATGCTCAAATTTGATAGCAACAAACAAAGATGATTAACTTGGGCATGCACATTTGAACATTACAGCCATTTTCTGCTAAATTATCTACTCCATATGTACATTCACAATTACAAATTGGAAGTGAAATCATATTCCAATTTATAATTGAACAATTTCAACAGTATCTAACAGTGTTAAAACGGTAATTTAACCATTAATCATGCAAATTTACCTTCAAAAAGTAATCACAATCATATCAATCAGCTAATCAAAATTCAAATCAATTAACAACATCATCATTAGCCTCATTCCACCACCTAATTATAAAAAATCTTTAATTAAGCTAACTAATCACATAATCAAGCAAAAACCCATCTCACATTATCAATTTATCACCAAGATTCATTAATCACAGTACCAAAGCAGTACAAAAGACAGAAACTTGATTGCAAAACCAAACATTCCATGACCAAAATCAGTTATTTAAGAAACAATTAATTCAAACCCAATTTAAAACTACAATCAAACAAAGTACAGAAATGATTAAAACTTACAAATGAGGAATTTCTTAGAAGAATTTCTCCAACGTCTCTAAAATAAGCTTCTTTGTTTCTCTCTCCTATATAAATGTTTGACAACGTCTATATTTTTTCTGGGGTTTTGTGAAACAGAGGAGAATGAATAGTTTGTAAAGCAATAAATTAAGGGGTGCGCAGTTGTTGGAAATACCAGAAATTTTAGAGAGAGAAAGTTGTGATTTTTAGTGAGAGAGTGAAGCATGTTTCAAGCATTAAATGGGGGGCAAAGCATTGATTAAATTGGGGAAGGAAAAAAAAAAGTTGGAATTTTTTTAAAAAATAGAAATTGAAAAACACAAAAAAAAATAATTCCAAAAATCTTGTAACGTCTCTTTGCTTAGATTGAGATTTCAAATTACAAATAAAAAAAACAGAAAGAGGGACAAAAAAGTATACTTTTTATTATACAAGGGTGATAAAATTACAAGGGGTAGGATTTTAATGGGGAGTGACAGACAAGTGATATGATGACACGTGGATTAAAGAAAAGTCAAAACAATTTTGGAAAATGAGTGAAACAAAAAGGGGTTAAAAATATTTGGGATTTGGATTTGTTAAGGTAAAATGGGCCCATTTTTTTGCCTTGGTGCGTCCTAGGTTCGAACATAATGGACCAAATCTAGTGAGAGAACAGAGAAGTTTATTTTCCCATAATTTATTTTTTGAAGGATTTATATTTTTATTGGATTTGAATTTTTTTGTTACGTTAACATGGGGGGGTCTAGTTATGAATGTTTGTGTATAAAATTAATATGTTAATTTGAATTTAAATAACATCTTACAAGTTACAATAAAATGAAAAGAAAATTGTTTAAAAATAGCAATGCAATGAAAACATTCTTTCTTTTATATTCAACCAAATTAAATAATATGATGAACATTTTCTTGAGTTATATGAACATCAAAAACCAAAGCTTTTGTCAATAGTGTTTGCGAATTTTGGTGTGTCAATATGATACTTGTAATTTTTTAATATGTAGTTCGTGATAGAATTTGTTAGTTTAAAACTCATTAGTCATCACATTAGTAGCTTGTATCATAAAGAATACACTCTATGGAGAACTAATTTGATTTGCAATAAATCCCAACAATCTATGAATAAATCCCAAGACTTAATGAATACACCCTTTCACCGTGATTACACTATTTGAGTACTCTTTATAGTTTATAGAGTGATTATATTTCTTTCATCATCTCTTTGTCATTTCATTAAAGGGGAAAGGGGTTGGGCTTAATCTACATGATCCACACATTGGGCTAGACTCAATCTAATCTAAGTAGTTGATTCAATGGGCTTGGTGAGCTTGGATTAGGGATGATGGGCAAAATGACATGAATTGTTTGAGGTAAGAAATTGAAGTAACTGTTCTTTCTACCTTAATTTCTATAGTGTAAGCATGACTGCAAGAGGATATATATTCAACATTTTATGTTGCATGTATTGCATATAATTTTACACGCATTTTAAAGTTTTTTTTTTGTGTGTAATTGACAAAATCTTGTTGTTGTATAGATGTTGAATTGTTGATTGTATTAAGGACTTAGAGTCAAATGTCATTTACCCTATATTTTACACTTATATTCCTCCCCCCCCCCCCACCCCCCCCCCCCCCACCCCCCCCCCCCTCAAAAAAATAATAATATAATGTCGATTTCATGTTTGATTCAAACTTTGTCATTTTACAAAGTTATATACTCTTACATAGTAATCCTTAAACAATACAAGTACATGTAAATAAATAGTCGATTCTAAATATATAACAATATAAATGAATTACAAGTTCTAATACCTTAACACCCACATCATAATTTATTTGCAATCTCCTATACAATTTTAATAATTAAAAAAGCAAAAAAGAAAAAATAATCTAAAAAGAATACATCTTCAAATTGCATGCATGCCAATTATTAAAATTACGAGCACATTTTAAGCCACAAAATCACTTCTTGATCAAATTGACCTTCGGATTTGATGTAGAAATCCATGCATAAATTAAACCATCTCTATTAATCATGAAACTATTCTATGGCACCTTCTTTTAACCCAACGAAAACCATTTTTAACAGAAGCTTTAAACTTAGTTTCCATTGTATATGTTCTATACGTAGTAATCCTTGTTTTCCTCTTCAAATCATTTTCATCAAAGCTCCAATTATGAGACCTACGATGATGTGAAGACGGCGAAGACGACGTCGTAAAGGATGATTTGAAATAAGAGTAATTACGTACCTATGAGAAGGTTGTAATTTTATGGGTGGATTATAATTACTAAATGTTGGACTTTCATTGTATGTACAACAACGAGCAGCATCATCAAAATTTTGTATTTCCAACATGTAATGATCTATGATTTGTAGCTTATATTGCTCTAAATCATCATGAACAATGTATTCATTTTGTGATCTTTTTGGCCCTTTCATCTTTTTTTTATTATTTTATTATTGAATTGAATGTAACGTAATAATCCCACCACCCCAACTCTTGAGAAACAACGGCAAAAAAAGTTGGGATGGGAGATATCTAGGAAAAACAAGACGACAAATTGAAAAGATAAAAGAATAATTAAAGTTACAAGGTATGTTTATATACTTAAGGGAAAAAAATTAGACATAGCTAAATTTAGACTATCCATGATATAGATAAATGTAAATCAATCAATATTATGAATTCCAAAATTAGGAGATTAAAGAAATTGCTTCAAATAAAGTCCGATAACAACTCAAATAACCTAGAGGTTTACAAACACATTACAAATTACAATCCATTGTTTTGTTTTTGTAACGGTTGCTTTCTACTTTTGTAGTGGCATTAAATTGTACTAGCGTTAACAAAACTCAACACAATAGTTATGTTGAATCTCTCATTATGCATATTTATGTTTTATAAGCACAAAACTAAACACAATAAGTATGTTAATAGGAGAGAACGAGGATTTTGGTCTTCCCGTCTCATCCCCACTTAATATTTTCATCCCCCATGATCCAAAATTCATCCCCATCACTACTCATCACTGCACCACCACCCACTTGCCTAATTGCAATCTCAACCTAAATCCCCATCTCAAACTTGCCTTATAATACTTGTATATATGCATCCATTAAAATTTCGTTACCGTTGTTATAGATAAAACTCAATTAATCAAAGTCTCAAAACCAAATTTATTCGTGAATGTTAGACAAGCTCATTATAATTCAATATAAAGATGAAATTCCAATTATTGGAATAATTAATTTTCGTTATTTAAAGTAAGTACAAGGCAATTGCTCAATATTGTTTTAAGTAGGTTGGGACTAGGCGAATTTGGAGAGGTATTACTTATGATTCACCTTATTCCCACAGATTATTTCCGCAGTCCTACTACCCATGACATATATGATTTCCATCTCAACCCCATCCCATTGGCCACCATCCGCCAAATCTAGACGGATAGAGCTATGAACTCCGTGATTACATTTCTAATAAAACATAGTGATAGATATGATTGTTACCCTTACATATACTTGAGACGATTCTAACAAGTATTTTACATACAAAGTGTGTTTTTTTTTTTTGTCTTAAAAATGATTTACAAACTGAGTAATTACATTCTCACCCCTTCTTGAGAGGGCACATAGACAATGTGCGCTGAATAAGTCGAAAGAACCAGTACAGCGCAAGATAGCTCCTTCCCATAGATAAAGCTTATCCTCTTCCCCCTTCATGCGCTCTAACTCATAAATTTCTTCCCCGCCATTTTTCCACTCTTCCCTCCTCCAAATTTTTGACCGTTAGTTTCACAATTTTCTGTTTTGCAGCTTCAAATCAATTGTAAAGGTATGTTCTTTAAATCACCCTTTTGCTTATATATAACTATGTTCTGGGTTTAATTTATTTTACTATATTTTCTTGATATTTTAGTGGTTTTTTAATTTGTTTTGAACTTCTCTGATTTGATATTGATTAAAAAGATTGTTTTTTTTATATGTATTTTACTTAATTATTTCTGGGTGTTATTTAGATCTGAGATTATTGAAATTGAATATTGGGTTTTTTGGGGTAAAAAGTTGGTTTATACACCCAAAACCCAAATGATGTTTTGGCATTTTTCAAGAGAAATTTTCAGTTATTGTTAGATTTGTGCTCATAGCAAAATGATCTCATAAATGGTTTATTTGGTGAATTTTTTGGGTGTTATTTCACCAAGAAATTAACAATTGGAGTGCCTTGTAATTGAGCTTAATTGATGCTTCTTGCATGAGGCTTAGTGGGGTATTCATAACTAGCATATACTTTGAAATCTTTAGGATTTATAGTAATGAAAGGTTGTACTGAGCTGAGGGGTAGCCTGTTGCCCGTCGTCGAATTAATTGAAACAATGGCCTGTACTTTGAATTTGATGTTTGAACTATTTTTGAGATTTATATGGAAATCACCATTTTACTAATGGGGTAAGAATGTATAGACACTCTTTTATCCCTTTTTTTTGGGTGTAAATAGAGCCACAAAGGATTTATTAAGAGGACGGGATTTAATCCTAGGGATGCATTCCCAAGACTTTACCGGCTAAGTTTGTTGACATCCACGTAGATAATTAAGTTCATTGTTTGATGGTGTAGTTGAAGCCCATGACAAAGTACTTGGGTTAATTAATACACATTTGCTTTAGGATTTGATAAATCTTTTAGGTGACTGGTTTTAGTCTTGACTACTTGAATGGTTATTCGACATTGTACTTTGTATTTTATTTGTGTCTACAATCCGTGGAGGATGATGCATATTAGACTCCATCCCTGTTTCTCACCTCACCTAGCTGCTTAAGCTTAGTAGTTAGCTTGTTTTTATTCGCTGAAGAAGTAAAGGAAGTAATATAGTACAAGTGACAGGCAGGCTCACTTCTCATCGTTCGTTGTGTTTTCTATAACCTAGGAGGTTAAGCATTCAAAGTGTTAAATGCCTACTGAAGCATTCCCATCTTTTATATTTTTAGCTTCCAATTGATGCATTGCCAGAATATGAACAAAGAAAAATCTAGGTTTTCAATTTGAGGTGTTTAACAGGATTTAGTAAAGGCTGTGTGACAGGATCAAGAAAAAGCTGGTTAACAGGATCTTCTTATGTGTATTATTCTTGATGCTATATGTGTGTGTATGTGTGGAGAAAACGAGTGAGGAACTATCCTCTTTTGCGCTTATCAGTTTGGGGGAGGGGGGGGGGGTGGGGCTACATCATGTTCTGTAATT